TGAAAAAACAGTAATGAGTAGAATACCTTTTAAGACAGGAACACCAAAGACCAAAGTATTACTCGAAAACAACATAACCTGCTTTAACATAACCTAACTATTCATCTTTCAAATATGATCGATCATGCAACATCAAAACATCGTCTTTCTGTGTGGCATACATGCAAATTAACAATACAGTTTGTTTAGATAATAAAATTCTGTTTGTCTCTGTCTAACATATCAGAAGCTTCATTAAATAAATTCACAAATCACAAAAATGATGACGGAATCGTCAACTTTCGTGATTTAGACTATAAAGTATCAGTCTATTTAGGTGTTGAGTAATAGTTGACAGTACGACCCGCTTATAGTAGAAATCACGAAAGATGAAGATTACGTCATCATTTTAGTCTGTAGTGAAGACAAACAACAGCGATTTGTGAATATTTTTAATGAAGTTTCAGATTTGTTAGACAGAGACAAATAGAATTGTATTGTCTAAACAAACTGTATTGCTAATTTGCATCTATCCGACAAAGATAGACGATGTTTTCATGTTGCATGATCGATCATATTTGAAAGATCGATAGTTAGGTTATGTTAAGGCAGGTTAGGTTGTTTTCGAATAATACTTTGGTCTTTGGTAGGTATTCTACTCATAACTGTTTTTTTCACAACAAAAACTCCCCACTAAAATTATCATTAAGGTATCAGTCAAAACCATGAAATCAAATGAAAATAAAAATAATCACTGAAATAACCTAATTTCCCAAATTCATAATATAAATTTGTTGTCATTATGTTCCTGACATCGTGATTTTATCATCGACGTACGTCCATTGATTACTTCAGTACAATTTATGCTATGACGTAATAGTCATCTTTTGTGATTTTGAGTATATCTAGTTGAGCACGATGACATGATTTGACAATTGTCTTTGACATGTCGCATACGCGTCACATATGTCAGAAATAAAATCGGTCAGTGATGAATCAGGTTCTGGTATTTTCTTAAAATTCAGACGTATTATTTATCTTGGAAATGGTACTCGGATGGTTTTATGATGCTATAGCGCGCATTTTCGGGGACGACAGTAAGGAGGAAGAATTAGGAGATCCACTCGATTTTGAATCTGGTCCATTTCTCGACTGTGGCATCTCTTGGGTTTACGTAAGTGCAAATTGACTTAACATACATGTAGTTTACTGAAATTTAAAACTACGCTGTTTTGAGCACCTCTTACTTGTTTTTTAACAGCAAAGTGGGTAATATTCAGCTTCCTAATAGCTTTCGCTCAGTTCCTTCAGTTGTAAAAGTATTAAGTACTCCAGGTAGTTCAGGAATTTTTTGAACCACGTTCCACTTTCCACTACCTTCCCTAATGATTTTTCAGATAGGTGGTTCTCAGGGCATTAAGAGGTGGTAGATTGTTCAAGAGGATATAAAATACCCTATACACTCATCTTTATCTCACCCTCACGTACACTGCCATTCCAAAGTATCTGGACATACGAGGGTTGTTTCAAAAATAAGGTTCCCAGCGCTGTAACTTTGCCGCGGTGATGCTGGGCGAAATCTGGCAACAGCGTCGTGTTTGTCGGCTACCCACCTAGGATCCCAATAAGAAGCGCCTATTGGCGACGCTCGGTACAGACAGACAAAACCGTTACCACCCATAGAAATGTATCGCCAGTTGAGTGAAGCATATGTGAACCATTTCAACATGTCCTCAAATGGTTAAGAGAGTTCGAAGCGGGAGGCCGTCGATCTCCGAGGAAGTTATGAGGAAGATTGAGCAAATCTTGCTCGGAAATCGGCGATTCACGATCCGGGAACAGGCGATTGAAATGTGGGAATCCTATTTTTGAGAAAACCCTTGCACGTTCAAGGCAACGATCAGAACCACTCCTTCAGGTTGTATGTTATAAAAATTATAACAAGCCACAGCTTAGTTCTCCGATTTCAATGCGACCGAATTTCTTCAAGTCGAACTTTATTGATAAGTCATAAAACAATGACCAGCTACGAGGCTTGCTCAATAAGTACCCGTGTTTGACGACAGAGGGCGTTCCAGAGCGAACTATGGGGACTATGTTGGAAAAAATTTATTTTTAAAAACTGGTGGCTTCATTTCTAACACTGGTACTTATTGAACCGCACCCGTATTACACACTGAAACAACTTGAAAAAGACGCAAAAGCAGAGAGCTCGTGTCGATAATGCCAAAAAATATCCCAAGTAAGTGATAAGAAGATTTTTTCACCAAAAAGATATCACCTATTTTCTAAAAGCGTCATTATTTGGGGTACATGTCACCCTAAGGGTCCCGCTCCATTCCTTTCTCAGTTCTTAGGCCCGTATCGTCAGTCGTCCCTACAATTGTAGGGCGCGTTTATGGCCTCCTTGATTGTCATACTCTTTTCTCTCCTTCAAAAATTTCTAGATTACACTCGTCCCGTGTCAGCGTCAGCGCTCTCGTATTGTTAAGATATGTTTTCCTTTTAAATTGTAGGAAATTTCAGGCTGATAAAACATGATATAACTCAAAAGCAAGCACAATTTGATGCAAATAGATCTTTGTGACATAACCTCAAAATAGAGCGTTGACACGGAGAAGTATAAAACTATGACAATCAAGGAGGCCATACACGCGCCCTACAATTGTAGGGACGACTGACGATACGGGCCTTAGTTATAAGTTATTCGAAAACCTTTGAAAGGTAGTAAAAGGTTGATTACATTTCGTTATATTTTTAGACCTTCAAAAAGTTGCTTCTACCGCGAGAGTTTCGCCCTAACAAGAAAATTTGTCCATCAAGATGCCGGATGGATTGTGGGAAAAGTAAGCGTGAGAAAGACAAATTCACATGTAAAACTTGACACTGTGGAAATAATCGTACTTATGTGAAACGTATACTTCTGTAGACTGTCTACGATAAAATAAACTTTATACGAAATTTGTTTTTTTATAGCGAAGCACCTGCGCGGGCAGACGCCTAAATCGCAGGTCACCGCAACTGCTATGATGATCCCGAAGAAGTTTTGTTTATTAGATTTTTGAGCTACTTAAGGTTAGAAGAACTGGGAAAGCTTCCTCTTGTAGATTGTTCCACAATCTCGATACCCTCGGGACAAAGGAGCGGTCGTATTGGCCAGTTCTGGATCAACGAAGTTCGACACGGCTAGGATGGAAGGCCGAAGCATTTATTTCTCCAAGTAAAAAAATATAGAAAAAAAGTAGCCTTGTGGATTCGAACCTGCATCCTGCGGAAGTGCAATCGTTAATCCTTCACGTTACGTTACGACACCTCTTTGTTTACTGGATCTTTATACTTGACACCAGTGATGGGCGTTTACGCGTATACATTAATTGTCTATGTCTCGATGTATGCAATGCGTATACAATGAATACGATGTATACATTGAGTATACAATAAAGTGAGGTTAGGCTTATTCGCAAACGTCAGAAAGTTGCTAAACAGTGAACCGACAACTTAGAAAAAATGTGGTTGGACGCTCCAAGAACAAAGAAATCGATGAACTAAGGTTCATTTATTGTTCTTAAGTTATTGAAAGCTATATCTTTGTATACGTGTATATATTTTATCATTATTTATAAATCAATAATGCCATGTTGCAGAATTTTTCTCTCTCTCTCACACACACACACATGGAAATCTAAAAGGGAAAGGGACTTACTGTTTTCCGTTTTCTCGAGTTTATTTTCGAAGATTCTGAACTCGCAGTCGTTTTAATCGTATGATATTTCTAAAACAGACTTTTAGAAAAAAACGCCAATTACATTTCTTCGTAAAGAAACTGGATTACGTGACCTACTCATTTAACAAAGTCATGCAGTCATCAATAATGCAGCCATTTCGCGCATGTTACATATTAACTAGTCTAAGACAGTTTGAAATAAAAAATATTTTTTTATAAACTTCAAGGCTCATCTGTGACCGTGCAAAAATGTCAGCTCTAAATATGGGTATGAAGAAATCTCGAAAGAAAATATTTCTTCGCAAAGGTGGTAGTCACATCCGCCTTGTTTTCAAATATGTATTATAACGTATGTTTTTAAATATCGAAGCGAATCTGTTCAATACGAAATATTTGAAATTGTTTAGAAGAAAAATGTAACCCTTCGTTTTTCGCAAACTCTTGTGTATTGCGATAAAATGCCCTTTGAACGAACCGTGTATATTGCTCAATAAGCTAGTAGTGATGGCCGGAAGACAGGTGTTTTAGGATAAGCAATTAGAAATTTTCAAAAACTAAGTGACCAATCCATTCCAATTTTGTTGTGGTTATTCGGTAGTAAGAAGAATTTAAAGAATTTCAAGCTGAAATGATCGTCCCATCAGCAACAAGTGTCAAAACCTGCATTTTGCCTCGGTTTCTTTAATATTAGTGAAATCTTTACACGTATGATCTCATTCTCTAGGTCTCATAAATACCTAAATATCTTATTTGAAGTGTTCCTTGTCAACACTTTCGATTGAATCCCAAAAAAAGAACGCGTTTTCTTATTCTTTGTTGTCGAATAAAAAGTTTTCTCACAAAAATTGGTGTACCCATTTTATGCGTCCACGTTTTGAATGCTCCCTTGGACAACTGGCATCAATAAAACCAGACATTACAATTATGTCCGAAAAATTTGCTCATATGATTAGACTATAATTGCAAACTGTAATTAGATCATATCGAACACAACGAGAATGACGCTGAACTATCAATGATCAAGTGATCGAGGGGGGGCCAGCCAAAATTATTTCAGTATACAAAACCGATCAAAATTATTTTTTGGAGTTACAAAATAATTCGAGTAGTCAAAGCGGCTTAAGCTATTTCAAATGATTTACTTCCTTTCTTTGCTCTATTTCTTCCTTTCTTTCCTTCTTTCCCTTTTCCCCTAAACCATGTTTGGTAGCTGGGTAGCCAGACCTGACAGACTAACAGACCGAACGGACTTTTAACTAAGAGCAAAGGTCCACCGGACCGCTCTGACGCATAATGACGAATAGTATAGTGATCGAGGTAAGCTTCTGCCATCTCAAACCATGTCTTAAAACGTCAAAATTTTTGAGGTGTCTACCGTTATTTTCTCGAAAGCATGCTATCTCGAGCACTGTGGCAGGTAAGCTTAATATTTTACGTGTATGGCTCGCTATATTGGATATTTGAATTCAAAACGCTTCTAACTGCGCGTGCCCAAAAATTGTCAAGTATCAAAACAAAAGTGACAGCTCGATCATATGGTTTGTGTTGTGGCGGTTATGTAATTTGCTTCTAAAATCCTACAGAAATAAAAATGTTTTCTAGTAAAGTAAGTAACGCTCGCGTGGATTTTAATCGTCGAGAGATTACATTGCTTTGTGTTGCAGCTGGTAAAGAGATGTTTAATACCAGCGGCAGCTGTCGTGGCTGAAGCAAAAGCACATTCAGAACCTGAGCATCCAAGACTTTGCAGACCCAGCGAGTTACCTATTTATATCCCCGAACCTATATGTAATGTTAAACACAAGGTTGTAGAGGCACCCGGGATACTAGAGTCTACCATAAGAGATACACGAGAAACTCTCACCAAGTACTCGGACGAAGTTAAAGCATACCAAAGAGTTACACAGGAGCATATTTCCAAGAGCAAGGAAAATATTCAGTGTAAGGAAAATATAATTAAATATAAGCATCACTGCCCGGCCATTGTAATTGGTGTTATTATCGCTGAGCTTTGCATACCAATAACTATAGTAATCTAATCTTGAAAAGCTATTCCTGATGTATCATATTCCAATTCCGCAAAATGAGACAATCTTGTACTACCAAAAATATGTTTTAGCACCGATATTCTTTAATATAAAAGAATACAGTAAGCACACTTATAGTATTCAAGTGATTGGTGTCTTGAGGTAGATTGTGAAATTTCAGTGTACAAACTTCCCTTTTAATATATGAATTTAGAGGTGGTAATAGTCATTGGCAATGCTCTTCTAACCTTTCCTGACAACAGCTCAGGTTGTACACTTTTGGTTACAAAAATAAAAACAAAAATTACAAAAACAACCACAAAATCAGCTGGCTGAGAATTCCAATTTACAATTTGTTGATCTTCCAGTACAAAACATTCCAATACATCCTGATGCTAACTTCAACCCATGTCACACTGCTAAGGCCTGAACACTTAAAATAAAATTCATAGATTGGTTGGAAAACTTCACGTGCTAGGTTAATCATGTTCTATTGTCAAGATGGTATCAAGTATCTGTCTAGACTGTAGCATGCGCAATCTAGCAAAAATCACATGTTTGTAGCCTAAAATAGAAAGTCACAGTAAAGTTCCAAACAACAGACACTCTAATTTTACTAGAAATGGTTGGATATTTCACTGAACAGATTGACAAAGGTGGAGTATGCATATTCATAGACAAGGTTGGATTATGAGCTTGGGTTTGTGTTGTCTCTTATCCTGTAGAGGAAAATATGCACATAATATGTAGGACATATGTATTGAACTTTCTAAATGGTCCATATTCGTACTGCCTGGCTATATTTTTACACATGGTTCACATTTAGTACCTATTTAAATATACAGTGAACCTCCGGTAATCAGACAAACATTATGCAGGGCAGTGTCAGACTATCGAATTTCTCGGATTATAGAGCACTGCCTAAGAGCCCCGGTATGTCCGGAATTTTTTACAAAAGAGTACCTTGTAATCTGACAAATTACATATCCAATGGTAAGATTATATATGTTATGTATATGTATGTACTTTGGAGTACAAATCATACATAGTTTATATATGTCAAATTTAGTAAATTAAATAACAATAGAGAGATTACGTTTTATTATAAAATTAAGCACAAATGCACATTAATATGTACCAAAATAATCAAGAATTATTAATCAAAATCATTAATGAATTTATCAAATTATGAAGCTTGGAAATATTCATCAATTTTTTTTTGTTTAAGGTTGTTATAACGCGAGATCAGAGCTTTGTCTCTCAGTCTTCTCAAAAGTAAAGTTCATTGTAGGATGTATCATTCTCTTCAGCCCATTGTAAACCTAACTCAAAGGCGTTAATTGCGTCTTGTGCTGTGACTTGTGGAGCAGTTGGAATCACGTCGTCGTTATTTTCCTGATTGTTTGTTGTATAATTAGAAACCTCTTTTATAATCTCTTCGTCAGACATTTCATGAAAAACATTTTCCCCTTTATCCATTCCATGGCACCAGATTTCCAAATCTTCCGGACTTATCTGTGTTTCAGTAACGACTTGTTCTATAACTTCCGAAGTAACACTGACTTGTGGAACGTTGCTAGGAGTTTTGACTATATCTGGCCATAACTTTTTCCAAGACGATTCAATAGTTGGTGACGGTAACGCATTCCACGACTGACAAAGAGCAAAAACCAAGTCTTTCATATTAAATTCTTTTAATGTTTTTTCTATTGGTTAGTCTTTTGATACGGCTCTCAGAAGTAGGTTTTTCTTATAGTCTTTCTTGACAAACTGAGTGATATTCTGGTCCATTGGTTGAATCAGTGCAGTGCAATTTGGCGGAATAAACATCGCAGTGATGCATTTATCCTCAGTTGTTAGTTCTTCTTCAGACGGATGAGCGGGAGCGTTATCAAGAAGGAACAACGCCTTTTGAGGAAAATTATGATCTTTTAAACATTTTCTAACTTTAGGTACGAAGCATTCATCAAACTACTTTATGAAAAGGTCTTTTGCCATCCATGCACTTCTTTGTCCGTAATAGTGTACAGGTAAATCAATGTTTTTTAATGCCCGTGGTTTATTAGATTTCCCAATGACCATCATATTAAGCGCGTGTGTGCCCGCAGCGTTAGCACATGGTAGTATGGTTACACTCTCTTTACTTACTTTTCGTCCAGGTACGGATTTTTCGTTACAAGAAACGAAATTTTTGTAAGGCATCATACGCCAAAAAAGCCCCGATTCGTCTGCATTGTACACCTGTGACGGGTCAAGATTTAAATCGTTCACCTTTTGCAAAAATCTTAATTCAAAGGACTCTATGCAGGTGGCATCGTTAGAAAGTTTCTCTCCTGTAATAGTCATTAAACGTATGCCATGACGACTTTTAAAACGTTCTAGCCATCCTTTGCTGGCCACAAAATCATCTTTTTTTTATCTTTCCTTATGAAAAAACTTAGCTTTCATGGCCAACATGGGTCCTGAATTTGGTGCATGCCTATTTCTTTCCTGAAGAAACCGCTTCTTCCACTTCTGGATGTTCAGCTTTCTTGAGTGTCTGTATCTTGCCTGGCCCGCAGTCAGTAGTTGACACGAACATCTTGATCTTCTCGTCGTTTCTTTTAATGTCATAAATTGTAGATCGGCCTACGCCGTATTCCCTTGCTAAACTACTGAAAGTTTCATTGCGATTTAAGCGGTCTAAAATATCACATTTTCCTTTAATTGTCAATGTTTTGTGCTTTCGCTTCTGAGTTTGTGATGACATTACTAGGTACTATACTTAATACACAATGAATAAATAGTAAACAATGGACGCACGCTAGGCCGTACCGCTATCACCAGTAGTCAAATTCAAACTAAGTAAAACAATGCTTACGCGTCGAGCACGATAGCGGTGGCGCGTACAAGTTGTAACCTGTTCAAACCTGCGTGATCTACATTAGCGAAGATTGTCAAATACGTATGTATGTAATATTCAAAGACATGTCGGATTACAGGGGGCGCCGGATTATCGGGGGTCCACTGTATACATGACTTGAGAGCAACATGTTAGCAGTATTCTCAGAGAACTATCCAAGAAAAGCTGCGTTTCTGGTGATAGGTTGCTAACCAGATATTATGGATACTTCCACTCAAGATTGTCATATGCACTCTTCAACTGGGGGTCACTTTGTGCATATGCCTAAAGTATTTGCACTACTAAAGTGCTGTATCAGAGTCACTGCAGGTCTGAGTTATATGCAGCCAAGTAGAGAGGCATTCATCAACCCTAAAGATTCTTACTCTTCCACCTCTGTATACAGGGTGACTTCGAAGTTGAGTCATTTTTTTTAACAGTGAGTAGATCTGATCAAAAGAAATGTTTTTTTCTTTTACCATTTTTCTGGTAAAATTAAAGTAACAAAGTTATAGCCCTTTGGAAGTTGTTTTTACAATTATTTTATTCAGTTGTATACAGTCAGTGTCAGTCGGTAACGCGTGAGTGAATAGTGGTGTCTGTTGCGTGGCTCAAACGAAATAAAAAATGGCACATGTTTATGCGGATCGGTTTCCCAATCGAGTGCAACCAACCCCTCGTGCCTTTGTTAATGTAGTACAACGGGCTCGTGAATCAGGTGACTTAAGACCTCACAGGGGACGGCATGCTGGTGCTCCAAGACCTCACGATCAAATACAGGTCCGCACTGAAATACTTGTCGGGAGGATACTTTATAAAACAAGGTAAAAAAATTTTTTATTTTTTTTTATTTTTACACACATATTTTGGTTTATCTTCCTTCTACAATCATTATCTAAAAATTAATGACTCAACTTCAAAGTCACCCTGTATATTTATCTGTTTATGTTATGTATACAACAATTTGAATCATAAAACACACAGTGATGTATACTTTATCTGAAGTCACTTGAAACACTGTGAAATACCGGGTGCGTTTTATATATCTATATTTAACACGCTCTGTTGCTGCAAAAATCGCCAAATTTCGCAGCAAATATCCCCCGTATAAGATCAAAGGCAGTTTCACCGGTCCACGTGGAGTAAAGCACGCCTATGCGTGGACATAGCCAATGAGAAAGCGTGTATTTCAGAGCTCCGAACAAGTGCAGGTGGCTACTGAAAATTGAAACAGCTTAGCCAGTGGCGTGTAGCGGTGAATAAACGTGTTTTCTTTAGTCTGTCCGTGTTTTTTCATAGATTTTATTAGTTTGTGTGTTTTTGACTTTTGAATACTCTGTTTACTTGTTGATTTAATTGTTGTGTTGATTGTTCTTGTGTGTCCTAAATATGGCTCTTTGGAGACCTTGGGAAAATGCTCCAAGCCACGAGGAGATGGTTGATGAACCTGTGCAGGCAGAATTCTTTCATAAAGATTTAGAGGAACAGACCCAAAGAGTAATCCTAAATATGTATGATTGTCTGAAAAACGAAAATCCAGATTCCTCGCAAAATCAAATTTTAAACAGAATTTGTATCCTGACAAAAATCAGTCGGTCTACCATTTATCGGGTTATAAAAAGGGAAGATGTAGTCAACCATTCCTTCCACAGAAAGCGCATAGGGCAAAAATTAAAAAGAATAGACGTGGGTTTTCAGGAAGATATTCGTCGTATAATATACGGATTTTATAAAGAAAATTTGGTGCCCACGTTGGAAATGATAGACTCACTGCACTGTATTGTAAAACTGTGTGGTTTTCAATACAAAAAATTAGATAAAAGAATGGTGATTATGGAGTCGTCTCGAATCGTTGAATTGCGCCAAGAATTTTTGCACAAAGTTAAAATCTATAGAGAGCAGCAAAGAAATCTGATTTACCTGGATGAAACGTGGTATTATACCCATGATGTTGTGCAGTACGGCTGGGTTGACGACAGCAACAAGTGCATTTTAAATGCACCATGCAACCGTGGAAAACGAATCATTATTCTCCATGCTGGCAGTGAAAATGGATTTATACCTAATGCCTTGCTGTTATCTGCCAAAAATATCAAAGAATCATGTGCCGACTATCATGAGGACATGACCTCCGACTTATTTGAAAAGTGGATAGAGCAGCAGTTAATACCAAACATTTCCCCAAATTCAGTGATTATTATGGACAATGCGCCATACCATTCCCGACAGAAAAACAAAATTCCGAATACAGGCACAAAAAAACAAGACATTATTGATTTTATGAAGGATAAGGGGATGGAAATACCACAAAAATCAACCAAAGCCATATTATTGGATCTTATTAAAAGACAAAAATTTGAAAAAGAGTATGTTGTTGACAATCTGCTTCAGCAAAATGGCCATGAAGTATTACGTCTACCTCCCTATTACTGCATTTTTAACCCGATTGAGTTGGTCTGGGCTGCTTTAAAAAAAAAAGTAAGAAAACATAATCAGACCCCTCAATTAAGTGAATCGCTATTGGCCACAATAAGAGATGCAGTATCTCATGTTGCTGCCACAGACCTATGGAAGCAGTGTTCTAGGCATATTATTGAAAAAGAAAATGAATATTGTGTTTTGCCTCCTGTAAATCCCGTTGTAATTCCTCTACAAGATGACTCTAGCGACAGCTCCGAAGGCGAGGATGATATATAAATACCTATAATGTAAGTCTTTATATACCTTTTTATATACCTACCTGCTATGTAAATATGTCAAACGTTGGAATTCTGTAATTTTTCCATTTCTTAACTTTCAGTCAACATAAATTAAACTCCCAATATAAGTATTTTTTATCCCAAATCAAAAAAATAAGAAGATAGTAAAATCCATTTATTGTGCTATAAAAACATTATTATTATCGTTCTAAATAAATGACCGCACGCCTACGATACATCATGAAATTACAAAGGACGCGCCGACCAAAGGTTTTTATGCTATTTCAAGTGACTTCAGATAAAGAATACTTAGTTTTTTTTTTTTGAAAACATATTACATGAAAAAAATTATAACATCTCCACACATTCAAAAACTGGTACCGAGAATACTAAATACAAAAAGGATCCCAATTGCGCTGAAAAGTTACAATACATGTAACATGCATAAGTTAGATATTCTTAAATATTATCTACAAAGAACTAGAAATGGTTCTAACTACTATGGAATCCACTGAGGCATACAATTTCGTCGGTCATGTTTGCCTGATTTTGTAGCTCTTCCAAAAAGAAATTTTGAGAAGGTACACATTATAATACATTTTCTAGGGCTGGTTGACTATCTGCATGAAGAAGATAACACTCTGCCAAGAGCAGGTGCTGTGGGCATTGGCGCATTGGCAGGTCTGATATTTGGCTTAAGAGGGGGGATCATCAAGAGAACGCTGTATGCTACGGCAGGTGCTACTGGAGTTGCAGCTATTTGTTATCCTAGCGAGGCATCAGAGTACTCAAAAGTAGGAATCACAGAGGCCAAGAAATATCTGACTGTAGCGTACAATTTTGTTTATGGAGGTGGGTGACATTGTTGTTATCAGACCATTACGATTGTGACAATTTCAGAACGGTCTAAAAAATGTCCAAAATGGCATACAGGGTATCCCAGTACAGAGTGGTGATGCATATTGAATACAAAAAAATTATGCAACATGTTTTTAAACAATATTCTACAGAACTTTACATAGATACAGGATAGATCCCTCAGTGGATTCCACCAAATTTGGACAGCTTAGTATCTCCTTGGGGGCTCTCATGGTATCCATGGAAAATAACTCAATGGCAGCTATGCCCAGTTTCGTTCCCGTTAGGCGGAGCTGGTGCTGCTGGAGGACAAATCGTGAAAAGTACATTTGAAAAAGACAGAATTGGTAGAAAGGTCCCTATTTTTCACGATACTGCATGGGCAGCATCCAGCAACAGTTTTTCACAAAGCAAACATTAATAATTTTATATACAATCATCCAGATGCGATCTTGCTATTCAACTGATCTCCTTTCTTTCACATCTCAGAGATACATACTCTACAGACTATCTCGGCATTCTGCAACCAACAAAGCCCGCTGGCGTGTCGTTGAGTGATGCCTCAATAGATGGCGCTCACAACGAGCAATAGCAGAATTAACTATTTTTACACTAACAGGTATACTTTATCTGAAGTCACTTGAAACACTGTGAAATACCGGGTGCGTTTTATATATCTATATTTAACACGCCCTGTTGCTGCAAAAATCGCCAAATTTCGCAGCAAATATTCCCCGTATAAGATCAAAGGCAGTTTCACCGGTCCACGTGGAGTAAAGCACGCCTATGCGTGGACATAGCCAATGAGAAAGCGTGTATTTCAGAGCTCCGAACAAGTGCAGGTGGCTACTGAAAATTGAAACAGTTTAGCCAGTGCCGTGTAGCGGTGAATAAACGTGTTTTCTTTAGTCTGTCCGTGTTTTTCATAGATTTTATTAGTTTGTGTGTTTTTGACTTTTGAATACTCAGTTTACTTGTTGTGTTGATTGTTCTTGTGTGTCCTAAATATGGCTCTTTGGAGACCTTGGGAAAATGCTCCAAGCCACGAGGAGATGGTTGATGAACCTGTGCAGGCAGAATTCTTTCATAAAGATTTAGAGGAACAGACCCAAAGAGTAATCCTAAATATGTATGATTGTCTGAAAAACGAAAATCCAGATTCCTCGCAAAATCAAATTTTAAACAGTATTTGTATCCTGACAAAAAGTCGGTCTACTATTTATCGGGTTATAAAAAAGGGAGATGTAGTCAACCATTCCTTCCACAGAAAGCGCATAGGGCAAAAATTAAAAAGAATAGACGTGGGTTTTCAGGAAGATATTCGTCGTATAATATACGGATTTTATAAAGAAAATTTGGTGCCCACGTTGGAAATGATACGGGATAAATTAAAAGATTATCCTGAAGATTTTTATAATTACAAATGCTTAGACTCACTGCACTGTATTGTAAAACTGTGTGGTTTTCAATACAAAAAATTAGATAAAAGAATGGTGATTATGGAGTCGTCTCGAATCGTTGAATTGCGCCAAGAATTTTTGCACAAAGTTAAAATCTATAGAGAGCAGAAAAGAAATCTGATTTACCTGGCTGAAACGTGGTATGATACCCATGATGTTGTGCAGTACGGCTGGGTTGACGACAGCAACAAGTGCATTTTAAATGCACCATGCAACCGTGGAAAACGAATCATTATTCTCCATGCTGGCAGTGAAAATGGATTTATACCTAATGCCTTGCTGTTATCTGCCAAAAATATCAAAGAATCATGTGCCGACTATCATGAGGACATGACCTTCGACTTATTTGAAAAGTGGATAGAGCAGCAGTTAATACCAAATTCAGTGATTATTATGGACAATGCGCCATACCATTCCCGACAGAAAAACAAAATTCCGAATACAGGCACAAAAAAACAAGACATTATTGATTTTATGAAGGATAAGGGAATAGAAATACCACCAAAATCAACCAAAGCCATATTATTGGATCTTATTAAAAGACAAAAATTTGAAAAAGAGTATGTTGTTGACAATCTGCTTCAGCAAAATGGCCATGAAGTATTACGTCTACCTCCCTATTACTGCATGTTTAACCCGATTGAGTTGGTCTGGGCTGCTTTAAAAAAAAAAGTAAGAAAACAATCAGACCCCTCAATTAAGTGAATCGCTATTGGCCACAATAAGAGATGCAGTATCTCATATTGCTGCCACAGACCTATGGAAGCAGTGTTCTAGGCATATTATTGAAAAATAAAATGAATATTGTGTTTTGCCTCCTGTAAATCCCGTTGTAATTCCTCTACAAGATGACTCTAGCGACAGCTCCGAAGGCAAGGATGATATATAAATACCTATAATGTAAGTCTTTATATACCTTTTTATATACCTACCTGCTATGTAAATATTTGCCTATGTCAAACGTTGGAATTCTGTAATTTTTCCATTTCTTAAATTTCACTCAACATAAATTAAACTCCCAATATAAGTATTTTTTATCCCAAATCAAAAAAATAAGAAGATACTAAAATCCATTTATTGTGATATAAAAACATTATTATTATCGTTCTAAATAAATGACCGCACGCCTATGATACGTCATGAAATTACAAAGGACGCGCCGACCAAAGGTTTTTATGCTATTTCAAGTGACTTCAGATAAAGTATACATATCTAGTCAGAAAGTTGACATTTTTTCGTTTTTTCTACATTATAAATAATCGTAATAACCCTGCCGATTACCCCTATTGGGGTTACTATGCTGCCATAATTCCACTGAATTACAGTGGGGTTCAAAATATATTTCGGAAAATCTGATTTCCAGTAGAGTCCTTTGGAGGCACTGTGTCTCTGTGGAGAGCATCCTAGGTCATTTGTTATCGAAACTTGTGACATAATTTTTTTGTCTTCCCCATGCATTCGAGAGATTGCCATGTGTAATTCCCTGAAATAATTGTTCTGAGGGCATCATATGTTTTTGGAATGATCAACCATTTTAACTTATCTTTTCTAAAATCGCTTAATTTTTCAAAATATATTTACAGTGAAAAAGGACGACCCGCCACTCGAGCTACCCAGCCTTCCTAAACTACCATCGAGTTTAACTGAAGTCTGGACCTCGGTTAAATCCACGTTTGTTTCAGATGCTCCCGAAACAAAAGCACCACAGGAACAGGTAATTGCATCCTCTGAGCCTGATCCCGAACCTTCCGATTCCCAAATCCAAGATCCTCTCAAAATCATCGCAAAGGCCCACGAAGAGTCTGTAGAAAAGCAATGCCATTGTCCCATAGGTGCATGTCTAGGACGTGAGGAGGTTGCCCAAAACCCGGAAAACCGAACAGAAAATGTGGCACATCTTCCAGATGCTTTGGATGCGCTTCAATTTGGCATGGCCCAAGATTGAATTCGAAATTTTCAAGTGATACGTATGCTCTCGAAAACTTTATTTTTATACAAGGTCGCACCCCCATTTGTGACTCTCCTGGTATATTTTGGAGAGAACGCTCGCAGATCTGTAACATAACCTCAAAATAGCGCGCTGACACGGAACAGTAGAAAACTATGAAAATCAAGGAGGCCATAAAGGCGTCTTACAATTTTGTATTTGATTTTCATAGTCGTTCCTATCCGTCAGCGCTCTATTTTGAGGTTAGATTTTCTTTTTGACTTTAAGTAATTTCAGGCTGGTAAAACTTGATTTTTATCATCCTAAAATTTCGCAAGATTCAAAAAGAAAACATAACCTCACAATAGGAGAGCGCTCACGCTGACACAGAACAGTAGAAACCTAGAAATACCCCAGCTTTTCTGAATGAGAAAAAAAGACTATGAAAATCAAGAATTCCATAAAGGCGTCCTACAGTAATTGACGATACGGCCTTAGTCATAGATTGCATTTAATTTCAAGATACGTGAACCCTTGTTGTCAAAGTTATCGTTTTGTGTATATAAAACGACTACTATCAATTTGTTTCTATGGAGAGCAATGCATTCTTCCAAATTCTGACTACTAAGTTTACTCTTGCTACCCATATTATGTTTGAAAACGTACTTACTCGCTATTCATTTCTTTTTAGGTTCCAAAATCAAAGTGAATATCCGCTTCGACGCTGAAGACATTTAATGTCTAGTTTGAAACAAAGTATTTCCCAAATAAATCTTTACTCCAGATGAATGTTTTTTATTTAAAACAAATAGCTGTACTATCACAGCAGCCGTAAGACACTCAAAAATAACTATTAAAAAATTAAAATGTACAGTTATAAATGTTATAACTCAATTTTAGTATTCGTAATACTTTTCTCGAAACATTGAGAAGCTATACAATGGCACATAGGAAAATATTCAACTTGTTTTCATTTGAGACAAAAAATATGTCATCATATAGCTGGAACACGTATGTTTATATAATTATTAACATCACAATCAGTTTATCACTTAAATTAATAAGCAAGAAACAATTCAAATGTTCTATTAGCAAAAAACAATGAGTAATATTATAATTATGGTAAATAAGTTACTTCACTCTGCAGCAAATCATGTTATCTAAAGTAGTTTGTTTTTTTGAAGCGACTGTTCTTCTAGTGTTTCTGGTGTAGATACTTTTGTCAAACTGCTCTTGTAATTTCATAGCATATTCCAAGTCTGCCTTTTCTTGAAGAAGTTTATTTTGTAAATCTGGCTGAATTTCATTTGAGGTTCCATTGATTTTTGGAAGTTTTGAATCGCCCAGAACAGTTTTATCATTCTTTTTCTTTTCTGTGCAATCTGAAACTCTCTCGAATCCATAGAATGGGGGGCTTGAACTATCATCACTGTAAAACTTTCCAAAAAGCTGCTTTTTAGATTTTCTACTGTTATTCAATACTGGAGATTTTCTGTAGTGATCATTGGGAATCATCTTTTTATTTGGAGTCAAATATTCATCGCTATGCAACCTCTTTGACTTGGAACTGTTTTGCTGTTTCGATTTTTCGCCAGCTGTAATGCAAAAGGTAGGAGAAATCCTTATAAATGCAGATTGCTGGAGATTTGATTGGAAGTTCACAGTCCCACTGGGCGATCTGAAAATTAAAATTATGGATGCTCAAGTGAGAGTTTGATTCAGAAGTCTATTCGATATCAAAACAGTTGTAAAGTCTGGTTTTATTGATGCAAGTTTTATTTATTTATTTGCTTTTAAAACATAGACACATAAAATGGGTACACCAATTTTTGTGGGATACTTTTTTTTCAACAACAAAGAATAAGAAAACGTGTTTTTTGGGAATCAATCGAAAGTGTTTGCAAGAACGAGAAAACTCTTCAAATAAGATTCTTAGGTATTTATGAGACCTAGAGAATGAGACCATAGGTGAAAAGATCCCACTTATAGTAAAAAAAACGAGGCAAAATGCAGGATTTGGAAGTTGTTGCTAGTGGGACGATAATTTCAGCTTGATATTCTTCAAATCCGAAGGCTTCTTACTTCTAAATAACCACAACAAAATTAGAATGGATTGGTCACGTAGGTTTTGAAAATTTTTCTTAGTGCTTATCTTAAATCACCAGAAGTCTGGTTTTACTGACGCAAGTTGTTCAAGTTCAAAACATAGACACATAAAATCGGTACACCAATTTTTGTGGGAATACTTTTTTTTTCAACAACAGAATAAGAAAACTCTTCAAATAAGATTTTTAGGTATTTATGAGACCTACAGAATGAAACCACACATAAAAAGATCCCACTAATAGTTATGGCCAGAAACCAAGGCAAAATGCATGCACTTGTTGCCAATACGGCGATAATTTCACACAGCTACTTGAAATTCTTTAAATCCAAAGGCTAAATAATCACAACAAAATTGGACTCGATTGGTCAAGCAGATTTTGCGATTTCTGATTGTTTAATTCAAACATTTTGTATTTGTATAATATCAATAAGCAATTGAAAAGTAGCATTTTGAATACTTACAATATTTTCACATCTGCTTTTTCATAAATTTTCTTAGGAGTTATCTTGATAGGAGGCTTTCTTTGTGAAGGAAATCTATGATCTATAGGTTTAAAGTATCTCATTTCTGATTCGAAACAGTCACTGCTATCACTAACATCCATATCCACGATCTTCTGAATCTGCTGTATTTTCTTTTTAATGATAGGAGAGAAAACTTTCTTATGAGCTTCGCTTTTTTTATCATCTAGACACAAAATCCTGCATGTATACTCCTTTGTGTAAAAGTTGTTTATGGGCTTTTTCTTTGCATGTTGATCTTGGGAAGTGATCGTTTCATTGTCTTTCACAAGAAATCTATCTAATGAACCTTGCTTCTTATTTGTGTTTTCTTTGAATTTCTCAAGAGCAATCTCTTCAGCTAATTTTTTTGCTATTATCTCGTCCATCCTGAGCTTTTCTTCCATCACAGCCTTTTCATAATCGTCCTCTTCCTTAAGCTTCTGTATCAGATCCTCACTAGCTCTAGCCTCAGCTTCTTTTAGCTTTCTTATCTCTTCCTCTTCCTGATGCTTCTGGTCCTCGTATTCCTTTCTTATTTCACCAGGACGAGCCACAACAATCATTTTTTCTGAAACCAAACTATGGTTGTTAAGAGCCCAAATGTTTTATCATCAATTCTTGTTAAATCCAAAATATGAGATGTGTCCCAAAAGCATTTGGAAAAGATGCACCAGCCAAATATTTTTGCTGTATTTAATATAGTACCATACGAGTGCAACCATTAAGGCCTCAATATATGCCTTACATTCTTCCCAAACTGCTGGGACACTGACATACATTTAGGATTTGAAATATACAAAGGATACCCAAAGGCATATTTTCCTAAGGCCACAGCTCAGTACAAACCCCAAATTCTGGGTGGCAAATCAAAATCAACCAGTCACACCTCCCCCCCTGCTCGGACTACATCTGCCCTTTGCCTCAATCAAAAGTTTTTGCTTGTTTCTTCATGTTACAAACCTTCAGACGCCAAATCTTAAAATATGCCCTTGGGGGTACCTATAAACGACATCTCACCTTCTTCCACAACATCATCAATTCCACAAAGCTTGTTTGCAACTTGCTGTGGAAATTTAGCTTTGATAGCTTTCCATAGGTCCTCATCAAGCAATTTACAAGCTTTTCCAGTCTTCCTATACCAGGAAGTCATCCGTATTCTACATAAAGGGCATATTAAATTGGTATTGTTTACAATTCCTCGGAAGCAACTGAAGCAAAAAGCATGGCTGCAGGGCAAAGTAACTGGTTCGATTAAAATGTTCCTGCAAACAGGACACAGTACATCGCTTAGTACAAGGGTGCTGAAGTCTTTAGATTTTGCTGTTTGATTTTTCTTCTGCGCTCCTCTCTTAGATGCCATGTTATTATTTTATCTATTTACATTTACAGCACTTGGATTACTTTTTACGTTCTTCTTTGTGACAATGACAAATGTCAAGTGGTGACAGACATTTCTGACGTGTTGGAAGTATCTGTCATTTTTGTGTTCATCTTCAGGGGTGCGTTTGTCACTTGGTAATGTAATACCGTACACAGTCGATGCAATGTAGATTGACAGATGATGTTTTTCTCTGGAATACTGTGAAACTTTCGAACGCGTAAATTATTACATAACAGAGTCATGTAATGACACTTGATAGCAGACTAATGGCATTATTTAGACACTACATGATGTTGTTTTTAAAAAAGTGCTACACTGTATCTAATAGCAGCTTTTTCTACGACTTCAACGATGTATCACGTTACATTTGTTTTTTAGTTATAAAGAAACGTGTTTTTTTACTTTTTCATTATATTTACGTAGACGTTGCAAACAAATGCTTGATTTAAGATTGTGTGATTACTGAGTTTAACCTAGTCTGATCCTTATCTTGGCCACCCTGTAATGCATTGTTATAAAAAAAAATACAGAAACGTTCACTAATCTAACGTTCTTGTAAGAATTCTTATGTACTTACATTCATTTCTGGAAAATCTCAAATCTATGAGCGAGGCCTCGAACAAAAGGTCCTAGGAATTGGTGATGGTGATAGCAGAGTTAGCAAAATCGTCCGATGAGCTGGCAATGCCGCAATACAGGTGACAAGACATATGTCTATCCCGCGGTAACGACGGAGTCATTTAGAACGTCAATACGGCAGTTTTCCAATCTACATTTGTATTTTGTGCAACGATTTCGAGAAAAATTCAGCTACGGATAGTGTATATTTCAATAGGTGTCTTGCGTGGCCATATTATCTTTACTCGGGCCTCGAATTAAAAATACCGATCGTTTTTTGTGCAATGTATACAGGGTGTCCGCAAAGTTGGGGTTTTCCTTTACACGACGTGTAGATCTTGAAAACATAAGCAATTTTTCTTAGTACCATATACACCAATGTCATAAGGGAACCGAGATAAAGGGCTCTGCAACATCAAAAATATCTGAATACCGTCCTGTAGCCGCGACATCACCGACTGGTACAAGGTCACTGTCTCAACCCGACGACAGAACTGGGTCGGGGTCAGTGTGTCAGGTCAGTATGCAATCTTCAACCGACGGTTACGGTCACGCGAGTAGAGGTAATCGCGTAGACGAGAATCCCTCAACAAGCACTAGAGAAGTGCAAGTATCAAAAACTAAAGTGTGGCAAACGCTGCGTGAAGAGGGGCTGTATCCGTTTCACGTCCAACGTGTACAAGCCCTTCAACCTGACGATTTTCCAGCAAGAGTGCGGTTTTGTGAGTGGTTGTTGCATCAACATGACAATAATCCGGACTTTTTGAAGTGCATATTGGTGACAGACGAATCTACGTTCACGCGTAATGGGGTGAATAACTTTCGCAACACTCATGTTTGGTCAGTAGAAAATCCGCACGCTGTTCGTCGGGCACATTTTCAACAAACATTTTCGGTGAATGTTTGGGCTGGCATCGTGAACGGTATGCTCATTGGACCATTTATTCTCCCAAATTGATTGGACGGGATGCAATACCTAGACTTCCTACGCAACATTTTGCCTTCCTTTTTTGCCTGCGTCTGCTCGGTAGCGCATCAGCTGATTTCATTTTCTGTTGGAGCGGTATGATTTCGGGCAGCGACGTACTTAGCTCTTCTCGTCAACTGGAGAGTGAGTACTTTTTCCTTTATTTTTTTTACTTGGTCGCCCTCGTTTCACTACACATTACCTTTGTTATTTCAAGGGTAGTTGTTTCTGAAAAGGAAAACCCTAACTTTGCGGACACCTTGTATATTTATCTATAAAAACGACGCATTTGATATGACAAATGCGGTTCCTATGTCTTCGATGACCTTCTCCCTCGGCATTTAAAATCAGGTGGGCGTGTTTCTCCATTTATGATTTAACTCATTTTTCGGCACTGGGAAGACAAATTTTCAATTGACATGCCTGTTTTTAAATGATACTGACATAAGACCCGCTAGTACCTCACACAAGTTAGTCAGTTTTACCAGTACCACGTGATTTTTGGACATTTGGATGACGTCACATCGTTCTTCGCGAACATTTGAGTATCGGTTCCCGGACTCGCGAAAAAATGCCTGAAGGTAAAAAAACAACAGTGTGAACAACACTTGCGATATGTTATGTTTTCCGATTGCGATGAGGCAAATGTGTTGAATGTTTTATCTGATTTTATCTATGAATTTATATGAGATGCAGTCAGTAGAACCCTACTGGTAATATAACGAATCTTATTTAGTGGAGTGTAGCAGGAGTTCGAGTCAAGAAACCAAATCGATAAACTGCAATGGATATTCTGCACAAAGTAGATTTCAATCTGGGTCCTGTAAGCATCGATGTGATAGAGGAGAATTTATATTTAGGAGGCCTAGCAGCTGCCAAGAACATTGATGTGCTGAACAAATTTAAAATCAACCACATTATCACCATCGATACTTGCCCATTGCCCCGAACAATCACCAATCTCAAAGACATAAAAACTATGTATATTCAGCTGAGCGATCTCCCTAAAGAAGATTTGCTGTCGCATTTCGATGAAACAGACGAGTTTATAAAAGAAGGCATGGCAAATGGAGCTGTTTTGGTCCACTGCTATTTTGGAGTATCTAGAAGTGCTACAGTAGTTATTGCCCATATCATGAAGAAGTATCAATTGTCATATGCTGAAGCTTTTGAAAAAGTTAAAGCTAAAAGAAGTATTGTATATCCTAATGAAGGATTTATAACACAATTAAAGTTATACAAGGAAATGGGATACACAGTTGATACAACTAGTATGCATTTTAAAATCTACAGGTACTTATTCAACGTTTAGTATGATGCTGCAAGTGATTATTGAATAGAACCTTTAAATCATAGAGGCATTGTTTTAAAGTATAATATTTTTCATTTAGTTTTGTTTGCAAAATATTATTTCTAGGCTAACTTTAGCAGCTGATAGAGTGAGGAAGGTAAAAATCCTCCCTCAAGAATTTTCCAATCTTATCGCACCAGATCCAGGCTTAGAGCAAATACATCCGGAACCAAAAGTTTATAAATGTAAAAAATGTAGAAGGGTTGTAGCATCTGAATCAAACCTCATTATGCATCAAGATAAAGGTGAACCTTGTAGACAAACTTACTTTGTGGAACCAATGGCCTGGATGAATATTACTGGTAAGCACTTTTTCTATCATTTTAAATACAGAGTGAGCCATAAGTTGTTTCAGTTGAAGTTGTACATGCATGATTTTTAGGTAATATGATATAGGCAGATTTGTGATAGGTTTTAATGTTTTTGGGTTCAAGAGAAAGTCCGTCCAAGACAGATTTAATACATTGCAAATTATCAGATCATAACTAAAAAGGTACTTGTACCAAATAAGGTCACGTTAACATTTGTATGTATTTAACATGAACATTTATTTCCAGCTGGTACGATGCAAGGGAAGCTACATTGCCCCAAATGTAATAGTAAACTGGGTTCATTCAGTTGGATAATGGGCTCTCAGTGTACCTGTGGCGTAAAAGTTGCACCTGCTTTCTACCTAACACCTTCCAAGGTCGACTTTAGTAATGTGGTGAAAAATATTGAAGCAACTTTTTAGATGTTTGAAACTTAGATGTTTTCTTCCATTATTTCTTCCCACTCTTAAGAATTCCCTTACTAGATTTATATTTTATTTATATGTATATATTTTTCTTTAAATAAATGTATTTTGATTATTAGTGGTGCTAGTTGTTGTTATGACCCCCACCGACTTGAGCTTAACACATTATTTGTTGAAATTAACTTTAGGTAACATTTTTCATTTCAACCACTTCTTGTTTAAAATTCGTATATGAACAAATGATTCTCAACTTGTTAAGGCCTATTCAGGAATCGGACTTGGGCATAGCAGAAATACATTTTTCTTTATCATCAAGACCGATATTCTTTGAAAAGAGTGCAGTAGAAGGTATGTTCATCCACTGCCCCCTACCAATACTATAGGCGTCTCATAGATGAGTTTACAGCACATGAGATGCATAAATATATTATAGCAAATGAAACTTTGAAGAGCACCCTCAAAATAAAAAATGTGTTACAGTGATGCGCGATTGAGATTATATTCATTCTGTCTGCCATTTCTTTGTTGCTAGAAACATCCTATAAGAAGTCACACTTAAATAAATAAATAAATGTTTTATCCGCCATTACAATAATAATTTCGCAATATTAACATTAATATTATCATAGTTTGTACCTTATACCAGCTACTCATCCTAATTGTATAATATTAAATTTCTACATTATTAACTAATTTTTTAAGAGACAATTTTAAAAAAATCTCAAAATTTTTAAGCTCCTTTTTTAATTTATTTCGTTTTATTATTTTTTGTTTGTTATTTTTTTCAATATATTCTACGGACCTAAGGCCCGTATCATCAGTCGTCCCTACAATTGTAGGGCGCGTTTATGGCCTCCTTGATTGTCATAATCCTTTCTCTCCTTCAAAAATTTCTAGGTTACACTTGTCCCGTGTCAGCGTCAGCGCTCTCCTATTGTGAAGATATGTTTTTTTTTAAATTGTAGGAAATTTCAGGCTGATAAAACATCATATAACTCAAAAGCAAGCACAATTTGATGCAAATAGATGTTTGTGACATAACCTCAAAATAGAGTTCTGACACGGAGAAGTAGAAAACTATGACAATCAAGGAGGCCATAAACTCGCCCTACAATTGTAGGGACGACTGACGATATGAGCCTAAGGGAACCCAAGAAAAGCGCCCATTCAAAAGACTCAGCATTCTGATGTGAAGCAAGTTCATGGCGGCCTTTTAAAAACGCGTCAAATTATACAAACTGTGCTGACTCATAACCCGACTATTATTTGGATGAATTATTTTAATCTGATAATTTGAAAAAACAGCATGGTTAAATACTTTCTCTTAATCTGAAGTTATTTATATCACACTTCGGAACGTTCGCTAACAAACGTCGAGAGACTAGTTGTCGAACCGTCTGGTGCAGTGGTGCCACACTCAGACCTGAAATGAATGTTGATTTATAAGACTTCAGAAATTTAGAAAATTTAATACAATGCATTTGAATTTGTAGTGATAAAATGTGTTAAAATTAAATGCTAGATTACAACTTTAATTGATGTCAAAGTGAATTTATCATAAGCACATCTAATCTAATCGAAAAAACACGTTGTAGTAATATTTTTAATAAGAAGAATGCGTGCCGGTGGTAACAAAATTGTTGTACCCTCACGAATGTTTTTGTTAAAAAATATTACTTTGCTTTGTTTTTCGTTTTTTTTTCACAGGAAAAAATTAGATGCCCGAATGGTATTTGACAAGACTATTTCATGAGTACATACACATAGCTTACAAAATGTATTGACAATAAAATCAGAAAAATTGTTTAAGATTCGTTTTCGGGTGTTAATAAGTTAAATAACTCCCTACTACGTTGAAAACATTCTATTGGCGTTGAGATGGACAGTTCAGTTTTACGCACTACTTTCATGCACCTTGTATATTTGAGCAGGGAAACCAGATCAATAAATAGTAGTCTGTAGTTGTCGGCGTTCCCTGGTATGACGCTAAATATATCGTAGCCCCTCATTCCATTCATCCGCTGCGTGTGGATCGTAGGATGCCCCCCTTCCCCCACCCTTACCTAACCTAAAACCAACCGTGGGATTCGTACTGGTTTATTTTTAGCGAAAAATGTGCAATAGAGAGGTGTCCTACACACAAATTGGTATCACATAACGCGTATATTTTCAGACGATTGAAAAACGATGTACCTTTCAAGATTGTACGTATTATACTTTTTATAATTTTCTCATATTCACTAATAAAAACACAGTATAGGCATGCGATATATTGCACAATTGCACTAACACTTGTAGAAGCTTGAATGCGCTGTACTATAATTACATTAATAGCTATATATCGAGATGGCGGGAAAATGAAGATGAATCATGAACACCTTTTCAAAATATGACGTTCATGACGCATATTAGGTCATGTCAGTTGCATAATTGCTATATTCTATTCAATCAGATATAACAGCTCTAAAGCAAAGCTTCTGTGTACCTGATACCTATTGTATGCATGTAAAGGTGCACAATATATTTTTACATCGCTAACACGTGGATGGCCCTGGAAAAACTATAATTGTATTTCGATACGGCACGGAATCCGGTGCGAATATAGAATGGTACTCGACTATGTGGCTATACCCGCAAAATGTATTTATCCCACAGTCAAGTAATTACTCGGCGAGTTTCAAGTAAGCTATAATAGGTATAGTATTTCTAATCCTGACAAAAATGCTACATAAACGCACAAAAACTCCAGAATCGTATATCCCAGGTTTGGTATAAAACATATTGGTCCCTATATAAAAAGTCATGATAAAGTTTGATCATAAAAGAAATCTTTCTGTTGGTGTACAAGGTAGTCAGCTAGGTCCATTACTATTTTTTTATGAAGGGTGTCTCAATAAGAGAGTCGGATTTGATTTTCATGAAAAATACATTGTTTTTCAAATTAGGCGAGTTATTTTTATATTTCAACATGAAAGATGAATAGTTGCGACTTAGGCCCGTATCGTCAGTCGTCCCTACAATTGTAGGGCGCGTTTATGGCCTCCTTGATTGTCATACTTCTTTCTCTTCTTAAAAAATTTCTAGATTACACTTGTCCCGTGTCAGCGTCAGCGCTCTCCTATTGTGAAGATATGTTTTCTTTTTAAATTGTAGGAAATTTCAGGCCGATGAAACATGATATAACTCAAAAGCAAGCATAATTTGATGCAAATAGATGTTTGTGACATAACCTCAAAATAGAGTTCTGACACGGAGAAGTAGAAAACTATGACAATCAAGGAGGCCATAAAAGCGCGCTTCAATTGTAGGGACGACTGACGATACGGGCCTAAATATTGAAGACATTTGTAATATTTTAGATTATTGTAAAATTCAGATATTTGCAGATGATACATTAATATACATAGATGAAAATATAGACACTGCTTTAAAAATGCTAGATTCTGACTTGGCAACAATCATAAATTGGTTAAATGTAAATAAACTAAAAGTGAAATTCTTAAACAAAATGTATGCTAATAGGGAAATACCTAAATCAATGACAGTTAGGAAAGTGGTGAAATAATTGAAAATGTTGAATTAATTAAATATTTAGGTTTATGTATGTGACAAAAAACAAATTGCTTTTACAGGTCTTCTCATAGTATTAGTACATATTCCAAAAAATAGTTTATAATACAATTATTCTACCGCATTTATTATATTGTCCAACTATCTTGCTCACTGCCAATGAAGCTGTATTCTCAAAATTACAAGTCCTGCAAAATAAAGCTATGAGAATGATATAGAATAAAATTAAGCACACAAAAATAAAAGCTATGTTACAAGAATTGCAGTGGTTGAATATAAAAAAATTCATATAATATTTGGTTCTTATTTTTATATTTATTTTTTGCGACAGTACTTAAAACATTACATAGAATTTAATAATCTTTACCAGAATTATTATACAAGAGGAAATATAGATTTTTATTTACAAAATTGCAATAGTAATATAACTAGCAAATCAATATTTCAGAAAATATTACTTGAATTTAATGAACTAAGTATTGATAAAGATTTTTAAAAGACAATTAAAGGTCCTTGAAATGCGCTATATAGATGTCCTTTCCATTATGTTGCTTGCTTTGAAACACGACCAATGCCCTGGCATAAAATGACATTGGCTGTGAAGGTTAAGCGATACAGTATGACAAAGGTACATTATCTCTTAATGTTCAAAAGATGCACATGGCCCTCATTTGTTGCATGTTATATTTTAGTGAGTTTTGGCCGAAAATTGTCTGCATCAGAAGCGATTTTACTTTTTAAGAACCCATAAATGCGAACATGACCTTTACTCCAATCTATTGGCACTGTATATTAACTCAGTGAGAAATTTGTAAACAGTCTAAAAGGCTTTTCCGTTTAGGACAACCGTTTCGAATAAAAAAATCAAATGTTGTGAAATTGGGTCTTAAACGCGTTTTTCGATATTCATTATCTATCTCCTCCGAAGATAACGGAGATACAGACCTAGCGAATTTTGCATAGGAAAGCCCACACTTCGGACTCCAGTTTAAGTATATTAAACCGTTAAATATACAGGGTGACTTCGAAGTTGAGTCATTTATTTTAACAGTGAGTAGATCTGATCAAAAGAAATGTTTTTTTCCTTTACCATTTTTCTGGTAAAATTAAAGTAACAAAGTTATAGCCCTTTGGAAGTTTGAGTACCGCCCTGTCTCAATAATAATATTATGTGCTCGTGTTTGGCGACAACGGATATAATCCGCCTTATCGGTTCATCGCATCGGAAACAAAAAAGCGAAAGAATTTGGAACGATGTTTTTACAATTATTTTATTCAGTTGTATACGTATACAGTCAGTGTCAGTCGGTAACGCGTGAGTGAACAGTGGTGTCTGTTGCGTGGCTCAAACGAAATAAAAAATGGCACATGTTTATGCGGATCGGTTTCCCAATCGAGTGCAACCAACCCCTCGTGCCTTTGTTAATGTAGTACAACGGGCTCGTGAATCAGGTGACTTAAGACCTTACAGGGGACGGCATGCCGGTGCTCCAAGACCTCACGATCAAATACAGGTCCGCATTGAAATACTTGTCGGGAGGATACTTTATAAAACAAGGTAAATTTTTTTTTTATTTTTACACACATATTTTGGTTTATCTTCCTTCTACAATCATTATCTGAAAATTAATGACTCAACTTCAAAGTCACCCTGTATAATGATATGATGGGATACAATTTCATAAAGGGTAGGAAGTCATATGAAATGAGAGTATGAACGAACGTTTTGTGAGTGGTATCACCAGTATGTGATCATATACTTCGTATTTTTGCCACTGCATCCAAGAAACTCGCGCAGTGCATATATATGATAGCGCCAAAACAGAAATAGGTACATAAATTAACCGCTGCCAAAACTGGCGTTGCACTTAAACTTCCTCGACTCTTGTTTACTTTGATTCAGTGTACCAGAAAACAAATTTCATTTGGCAATGTGGTAAGCAGATCATTTTGGTAGCCTTTAATATACACATACATTTTAAGTTTGTTGTTCGTTAACTATTCTCCAGACGGCCATTCATCGTATCCATCAAAATATGCCTATTATTATCTCCAAGTATATATCTGCATTTTTGTGTCCTCCTAAAAATGTACGAGGGTTGTCTCAAAAATAGGGTTCCCACAGTTTTTCCAAGAACAAGGAACTTTTTATTTGAATAAACAAATTTACCATCTTTAAGCTACTTTTCTACATAGTCACTATTTTGTGGCCTCCCAGCCATATCGTTCGATTCCGTCCTTAGTTTGTTGTGAGATATAAGGACGCGCATTGTCATGCTGCAGTCTTACGCTTTGCAGATTTTTCACATACGATGATTTTGGATTGCCCGTCTCAGCTTTTTCAGAAGCCTCAGGAATTTCAACCGCCTGTTCCCGGATCGTGATTTGCTCAATATTCGAGATAACTTCCTCGGAGATCGACGGCCTCCCGTTTCATTGTTCATCGTAGATGTCCATGCGATGTTCACCATTTTTTGGACATGTTAAATGCTTATTACACGTTTCCCATATACTTCACTCAACTGGCGATGAATTTCTATGGGTGGTACCGTTTTTACATACAAATCCCATGACCGCACGAATTTCGCACGTGGCGGTGACGGCGATGAAAGGCTCCTTTGCGCATGGCTGCCAGGCCGGTACTGAGCGTCGCCTCTGTAGGCGCTTTTGGCTTTTTGGTAGGGTCGGTAGTAGGGGAGCCGACAAACACGACGGTGTTGCCAAATTTCGTCTAGCATCACGCGCGGCAAAGTTGCAACGTTGGGAACCATATTTTTGAGACTTGGATAAAAAATAAATTGGAGTAAGGTTTTCCAATCGACATCTGGATCAATTTTCAAAGGATAAAACTGATTTTGTGTAGCAATTTATAATTAAGGATAGTACTTACACTACGACCTTAAACAGCAAAGCTGTCGAAATCGTCTGAAAATGTTTATGGTATTGTTTTTGTGGGATGCAAAAGCAATACTTTTAGGTTAGGTTATCTGTAGAACAGTGAAATTGCGTTAAACATGATATTACTGCAATCATTTCTTGAAAAGCTGGCTGTAAAAAATTTGGTAAAAATATCAAGTTTACAGAAGAAACTCATCTTTCATCGTGACATTGCATCTGCTCACAGAAGCACTTTAAGAATTATGAAAATTACTTAATTGCTTGAAATCCCATCCGATTATTCAGCTTTAGTACCGTGTGATTCATTTGTTTTCATGCCTTAAGAAGCTTCTATGTCAAATGAAAATTACGGGTATTTTAAAGTGCTCTAGAAATTGCTTCAGACAATCATCAAATAGCGCTAGAAAAATGTAAATGGGGTTATGTTAAAAGAATAAACGTATTTTCAGATACCAACTAATATTTTTTATGTAGACTCCAGAAACTTGTTAATATGGCCTAGTGCTTGGCGTTTGTGTATTTTATCATCATTCATATGTCTGCTGCACCAGTGCTTCTGAGAGCGAAGGTCTTTTTGACAATTGAAGAGCGGAGGGAAAAAATTATCCATTGCATCGCCTCCCAATTTCCTTTGGGCTCTCTAGCTAATTTACAAACTCGCGATGTTTTTTTCAAAATCTTCACATGAAAAATGACAATCTATGTTTGATAAATACTAACATGTATTTCAGTATATTGTTGCAATGGCAACCTAGAATTCTTGAAATAAACTTTTCTTGCCAATTCTGTTACTATAAATATTGTTTTGCTTCCAGCACTAGTTCCTTCAATAGAGGCGCAGGCTATGTCTATGAACTAGACGAAATAGAGCCTAAACTATATTTATCAGGGGCAGATGAAGCGAGTAGTGTAGAAACTCTCAAAAAGTACAAAATAACACATATCCTTACAATCAATGACTATCCTTTAACCCCATCTGTAAAAGAAGAACTCGGTTACATCAATAAGAAGTTCATATGTCTTCCAGGTAGGTGGTAGGTCGTTGACAGCTGTCATCTATAATAACTTGGGAAACGAATATCACAAGTGATACGTCATCCAAGAACTGCTTTCCAGTGACCTTAGTAACTCGGAGTAACTTCAGCGTCAATACTGTTCCACTGCACGTTCTATTCTCATGCATTGTTTCTGTAGAAGTTCAGGGGCGTATAACTCTCACACCAAAAACCACTGGAAAGCAGCTGAGATCAGCAATGTCACTGAATATCATTGGTGAAATCGAATTTATCTTGAAGTCTAATACTGGTACTGCTTTGATTCTATTCCGTCCATTTGGCAACCATGTCCGGCACCCGTCGCTATCGGGATATTACCGCGGCATAAGTCATCATAGTTTACCAGTATACTGGTATGCATACACTGAAAACCAAATACCACTGACATCGTAATGTGTACAAGAGAAAAGCGCGCTACTCGTGTGTTGGAAAGAGATAGAAGCACCTCGTTGCCTAGCAACCTGAGATCACGGATGCCATCGGCGCACTCTTTCTAACATACATATTGGTCGCTTCTCTTTCGTACACATTACGACGTCAACCTCACCGTATGCAGCTGTTTCAACTTGATGGTTTTTAGATATGGTCACATCAGATTTGCTGTCGTATTTCGACGAGTGCTACGAATTTATAAGGGAAGGCGTCTCCAGAGGAGCAGTACTTGTCCATTGTCAGATGGGCGTATCTAGAAGTGCAACAATTGTCATTGCCTACTTGATGAAAAAATACCGAATCAAATACAGAGAGGCTTTAGATAAAGTTAGGGCAAGGAGGTAATCTAATGTTATTATGTGAAACATTTTTCTAACGATATACATTGAAATATCACACTATACTCTGCGGATATTCTCCAGAATCTCATATTTCGCGCAGGAAAGGCGGACGGTGCGACACTGTCGAGTATATATGACCTACAGTTTTGTATCTTCTTGGAGAATACGTTACTGGGTGATTAAACGCAAGACTTTTTTAGCGTTCGTTTAGGATATGACTCGGATATTAAAATTGCAGATAGTGTAGCATAACACATGGTACGCCACTGCTACGGCAAAGTTACCAGTGGTGTACAAAGTGTGATGTTCCGTTTTGGTACAATATGGTACATTTTTTTCAAATGAAACATTTCTATTTTTTATAATTGCAGATGTGTTTATCCAAATCCAGGGTTCGTCAGTCAGCTGGAGAAATATAGTGAGATGGGGTATAACACTATGAATCGATTTGCGCCCAGAAGCAGAAGTAGCAGCTATTATAGATAAATTTCACAGCCAATGATACTTTCTGGAAAATACATATATATGTACCTGTTTCCTACACCGTTGACTTGTTAAAGAATATTTTTCTATTGGATCAACGAGTGGCCTCTTTAGGTGACCATCATGCGTCTAAAATTCTTGGGTATATTTATGATCAGTGTATAGAAATACAGGAAAATGAGTTTAACTAGTATCAAGTAACTGTACATAGATGGATTATCGAAACTTCTCGCGACTTAAGTAATCAATGTAATGCCACTCTGCTGAATGCATATCTCGCGCGTTTTCGATGTGCCACCTCCGTACATTTACATATAACCACGATTGATGATGACTATTACGTCATACCATAAATTGTACTGAAGTAATCAATTAATGGACGTACGTCGATGACAACAAACTTATATTATGATTTTGCGAAGTTAGGTTATTTCACTGATTATTTTTATTTTCATTTTATTTCATGGTTTTGAGTGATACCATAATAATAATTTTAGTGGGGAGTTTTTGTTTTGAAAAAAAAACAGTTATGAGTAGAATACCTTAAGACAGGAATTCCAAAGACTATAATCAAATTCAAGCGGATAACCAAATGAAAATGGTATTTACCATTTTGGGTTGGTATTTACCGATCCGTTCAAGCGATTGTGGTTATCAGTTTGGTTATAAGATCCGTGACGTCATGAATCAGCTGTTACATGTCACAGTTATCACCGCAACATTGTGGTATTTACCAACTCAGGAATAGTTTTATATTTCTGGTTATTTTTGAAATGTGACAAGTTAGAATTTTCCCGGGTATTGAATATTCTTATTGTACTTCAGCTTCATTTTTGGGAAACTTGATACAGGCTGACTTCAGTGTTAGCATAAAGTGGAGCACCTCATTAGTTATACTCATTACTGTTGTTGTGAACACTTTAAATCTAGTTCCTATGCTTAACAAAGTATCCTGTGTAGCCATATACCACAAGAATATTAAAATATGGCCATATAAACTCACTGGATGATGTCCACCTGTATACGGTTTCGCAAATATCTTTTTTAATCGCTTTTTCATCATTTCTGCTAAATCAATAAATATTTTCTTTGGCATGCGGAAAAGTTTCGAGAATTGAACGTTATCATAGCTACAAAACCATGGTTCCCTCATTAAAATTTGTTTTCTGAAAAAAAAAACATTTCTCTCATGAATATTATGAAAGATTTCTTATTTAAAATTTCCATTCACCGTTGTAGACGAAATAGCACCGATTATTAAGTGATAATAAAAATAATCGGAGATTATATATGCGCTTTTATAAAATAAACAACTTGCAACAAAATCGCGGTTAAAACCAACGCGTTCAAGCGTTTCGTGTAACTGACGTCATCAACCCGTGTGTCATCTTGAACCATATTATAACCGCGGCACATAATACAGAAATTTTGGTTATTCCCTTGGATTTGATTAGTGTATACAATTCCACAAGGCAATAATCAAATTCAAGCGGATAACCAAATGGAAATGGTATTTACCATTTTGGCTTGGTATTTACCAATCCGTTCAAGCGATTGTAGTTATCAGTTTGGTTATAAGATCCGTGACGTCACGAATCAGCTGTTATATGTCATAGTTATCACCGCAAAATTGTGGTATTTACCCAACTCCGGAGTAGTTTTATATTTCTGGTTATTATTTGACATGTGACAAGTTAGAATTTTGCCGGGTATTGGATATTTTTATTGTACTTCAGCTTCGTTTTTGGGAAACTTGATACAGGCTGACTTCAGTTTTAGCATTATTTATAATCATCACTGTTGTTGGGGACACTTTAAATCTAGTTCTTACACTTAAAAAAGTATCCTGTATAGCCATATACCACAAGAATATTAAAATATGGCCGTATAAACTCACTGGATGATGTCCACCTGTATACGGTTTTGTTAATATCTTTTTTCATCGCTTTTTCATCATTTTTGCTAAATCAATAAATATTTTCTTTGACATGCGGAAAAGTTTAGAGAATTGAAAGTTATCATAGCTACAAAGCCATGGTTCCATCAGTAAAAATTTTGTTCGGAAAAAAAAACATTCCTCCCATTAATATTATGAAAGTTTTCTTTTTTTCAACTTTCCATACCCCGTTGTAGACGAAAAAGCACCGATTATTAAGTGATAATAAAAATAATCAGAAATTATATACGCGCTTTTCTAAAATAAACAACTTGCAACAAACCGCGGTTAAAACCAAGGCGTTCAAGCGATTCGAGTAACTGACGTCACCATCCCGTGTGTCATCTTGAACCATATTATAACCGCGGTACATAATACGGAAATCTTGGTTATCCGCTTGGATTTGATTTATGTATTATTCGAAAACAGTCTAACCTGCTTTAACATAACCTAACTATTCATCTTTCAAGTATGATCGATCATGCAACATGAAAACATCGTTTACCTTAAAATTAAAATTCTGTTTGTCTCTGTCTAGCATATCTGAAACTTCATTAGAAATATTCACAAATCACTGTCGTTTGTCTTTACTACAGACCAAAAAGATGACGTAATCGTCATCTTTCGTGATTTCGACCATACCACCGACGTTGGAATATGCACGAGAGACCAGCGCGAGAAGCGTGTGCTACGTGTGTTAGACAGAGATAGAAGCACGTCATTGCCTAACAACCTGACTGACGAGTTTAATATACATATTCAACGCTTTTCGTGCTTCTCGTACGCATTTTGACGTCCGACAAATTTGACCCTCATCGTATATACGTATAAATTCAAAATTACTTAGATTTCTTTTACTACTCTCGATACTTTTCCGCAGTTTTAACGTTCTTTAAACTAATTCATATACTGAACACATATATGTAGCTATATTTTTACATTGTATCATTCTGGAGGTAAGTTATTCAGGGCCGTATCGCCAGTCGTTTCTAAAATTGTTTGGCGCCTTTATGGCCTTGATTTTCATAGTTCTTCCTGCGCTCTATTTTGAGGTTATGTTACAAATATCTATTTGCATTAGAAATCTAGAAATATTTCAGCCTTTCCGAAGGAGAGAAAAAGACTACGAAAATCAAGGAGAGCTTAAACGCGTCCTACAATTATTGTAGGAACGCCTGCCGATACGGCCCTAAGACAAATGCCGAATTTCGCAATAGATGTAACAGATCGGTTCGTGATTGGTAAAACATTATCTTTGTTTAAACTTTTGTTGAACTGACATACGTCATTCGATAGTTCAGTATCGTCCAGCTGATTTATTTTGTATGTGTATAATGGTTTGAATTTGCAAAAAAGGTGAAATTCATTTATTTAAAGGGTAAACTTACATGTTTCATGTTTCATCTAAGGAATAATATAAGAGGCATATTTTTTAATAGCCACAAAAATCGTTTTTTATTTAGATACAACGTACATGCATCAAGATTATCCTTATTTCTCCTCCCTTTGATAAGCTAGAGTATGCAAATAAAAGGAATGCGCATTGGCGTACTTAGGGGGGCACGGGGGAAATCAAAGGCAATTCTAAAATAAAGTAAAACACTAAGGCCCGTATCGTCAGTCGTCCCTACAATTGTAGGGTGCCTTTATGGCCTCCGTGATTGTCATAGTTTTCTACTTCTCCGTGTCAGAGCTGTATTTTGAGGTTATGTCACAAACATCTATTTGCATCAAATTGTGCTTGCTTTTGAGTTATATCATGTTTTATCGACCTGAAATTTCCCACAATATAAAAAGAAAAAATATCTTCACAATAGGAGAGCGATGACGCTGACACGGGACGGGTGCAATCTAGAAATTTTTGAAGGAGAGAAAGGAGTATGACAATCAAGGAGGCCATAAACGTGCCCTACAATTGTAGGGACGACTGACGATACGGGCCTAAGTCGTATCAAAATATTAAATTAAATGATCAAACAGACCTGCTTATGGAATTGACAGTAACCTGTAACATGTTGTAGAAGCCTGAGCGAACATTTTCTGGTGTAACATTATTGAAAGTCTTGCATGTCGAAAAACATTCTTTACGCGACATGTACTCTTAAAAAATGTTGCATATTTTATTATTTCAAGTCTGAAAAGAGTTTTGAAGCTGTCTTGTGCGACAACATTATGGGGTAAATGGTACCGGAATGGTCAATGACGATCGTCAGATACCACAGAACGTCATAAAGACGTCCATTTTATGCACTACTAATGTCTGTTTGCCCGAGACATTGAAAATGCGTCTTTATAATTGTATACTCGATTTATTTTATTTTGAATAGATCACCGATCACCTATCAAACAATTGATATCAATAGTTTTAAGTTTCTATTTGATAAACAGATTTCAAAAACAGAATGTCGCGAATAATGTACACAGATTCTTAAAAAAAAACACCAAGACAAGATCATGGACAAGTTTACTGCTGTTAGACAAACAAGCTGTTGTAGAACATGGAAAAAGTTGTCAGATATCGGTATTTTACGGTGTACTATAGTAATAGTCCAGACTATAACAAAAATAAATTCAATTGTTATGACCATTTCTGTGACGAAGCCGACACTGACCACTTTCTGCGACACCCCTCACCGTTTCCCCGCTTGTATTTTCCCACTGGGCCAAAAATAGCTATGACACACAAATAAGTTACATTCGCGAATACGTTATATTCGTGATAGTTAGCATTAACGGGACGCTAAACAATATAAAAAACGATATTCCCATTCGCTAAATGTGACTAAGTGTTTTTCATGAAAAGGGTTAATTTAGAGCTTACCTGAAAATGCGCCGCATTTTTGCTACATTCATTATACGCACGAGGAGAATTCCATCTTGCCTAGCTACGAGTTGCATAAGCAAAGAGGATTAGCCAAATGACGTATTTTGTGTTTGCATAGTGCAGGTCGAGAACATATTTCACTATTCTAAATTGCACAAGAGAAATAAATCAGCATATATTTTAGACACCCCTTGTATATATAATTATCAACTTGTATGGATGGCTTTATGCACAACATTATGCGTTATCGTTGACTAGCATTCCAGTTCTTCATTTCCGCCTATGGCACCACAGGGCTGCGTTCGTTAATTGTAATTTGTACTGTCACGATTTTAGCCTTCGTAATTGTTTGACGTACCTGTTAGATGCTTTCGAAAATTGAACAAGGTATTCCTTCTGGAACGTCAAATATATGCTTTTTTCGCGAGCTCAAAAACTTTGGGAATAAGAGTTATGTCACTTGTCATTCTCATGGTTCATTGTTCATTTTATTTGCTCAAAATTAATGTTAAATGTTACCTCGTATCCCAGGTCTCTTATAATAACTACAGTGGTCCCAGAAAACGTGGTTAAAAATTAGTCTGCTGTCATCAAGTGTCATTATACCCGATTTCACTAGTATCCATCATGGTAAAATGACAGCCGATTATCTAATGATATCCCAAAATTCGCCATATCGGCACAGGACACATAATTCCGACAAATCCATCAATGTCATCTTCAGGTAGTCAATATTTTATTATATAAATATATTTATTAACTATGTGATCTAAAATTACATGATCATTGTAGCAAAATTGTCCGAGGAGCCGGCAACGCCGCAATCTAGGTAACATGAATGATAAGATCGTATGTCTATCCCGGGGTAACGACGGAGTCATTTAGTACGTCAAAACGTCATTTTTCCAATCTTCATTTGCATTTTTAAAGCGGTGTAGAGAAAAATTTCGCTATGGATAGTCTTCTACAGTCTAGTAGAGTATATTTCAATAGTTGTCCTGCGTGGCCATGTTATCTTTACTCGGGCCGTTTCACAGTATTCCATAGCAAATTCATCTTTCAATCTACATTCCATTACTGTGTACGGTATTACATTGCCAAGTGATTTACAAACGCACCCCTGGATGTTGACATGTGGTTGACATTCCTGTCACTGTTCTGTGTGTGTATTCAAAAATTAAAATAATCAAAAGTTGGTGGGTGTCTCACGTTTTGCCGGTGTTTTATTTGTGGAAGTATCCAAATTTACTAAGCGATTTTGGATCAGATTTCGTTAATAGCGATGCGATCATTATACAATAAGACTTATACCATTTTAAGAAGTGCTGTGACCCGTGCTAATCTACAAAAGAGGTTTTCTGGGCGGTCAGTCACAGGCGAACGCACCAGGATATTAAACGAGACAACTTTAACCGGGCGACTCCTTTATTATCTGAACGATAAGAAAAATGAACAAGGAGATCAGGAAAACATGAATGCCACTAACTTGCTGGGTAAGATGAAAAAACAGGCGTTTGTAGACCTTGGCCAATATGATATCAAACAAATCAACTGCATTTTTAATATGTTGAGAGACAGGCACTTTTTGAATAACAAGTTCCAAACACTGAAATTGTTGCAGAATTTGGATCACGAATATATGCATAGACTGAATGAAATGGATCCAGAACAAATATTTGATGTGCTTAATAGTTACATGGCTGCGATACCAAATAGAATCATACAGTATATATTCTACAAGGAATCTATGAATAAACTCCTCGGTATCAAAGAGACATTGAACAAAGAACAAATAATAAAATTGATTTTTTTCATCGGGCTCAATAAGAAACATGTAAAGGTTCATGATATCTTAAGAAGCCTTTTAAATCTTCTAGGAGAAAAAGATATACAAACCCTTTCTGTTGAAGACATTTGCATAATATGCCAAGCAACATTCAAGACAGGCACAAAAGTTTACAATAAGGTTTTCCTCGACAAAATTGTCCAGTATTTGAATGATAACTTATTTTTACTGAAGGACCCAGCGTTATTTATTGCTTTGATCAAAACCGTTCGGCAGAATCGATGTCAAACTGAGGATCTGTTAGCGACGATATCATGCACCATGTTTTTTAATAAAACATTGCAGTATTACTCATTCGCAGCATTATCACACATCTTAGCTGTGTACTCCGATTACCTATATTATGATGAAAACCTGTTAGATGCTATTACAGAGAAGTCAATCAGAATTCTGAAAGAATATCATTTCACATCGACACACAAATACTTCCTGGAGAATCCCAGGATAAAGGATATTAAAACACTGTTGTGGAGTTTAAGTAATTTGAACTATAAGGGCTTGCAAGCAGATGATATTAAAGATGTGATAATTCCAATTATAATGAAGCGATATGCAGCAGGTGAATGTAGAGATGATAATATGAGTCTACTGGAAATAATTTCACATCTATGGATGCTGAATTACCATGCATATGAACTCATTGATATAGTTTTAACAAAAGAAAATGTGCAAAAAATCAGAGGTAAGTAATTCTGACCATACAGGAACTATGTATAATTCTTTTCACAATTTCGGTGTATAGCAGTAAAACTGCATGCATTATTTTATTGGCCTCTATGCAAGGATGTTTGACAGTCATAGATTTTTTAGTTTTATCACACACCCTTTAAAACTTTCTCATCAACATAAGAGTACCAAGAGACTTCCAAATTTTTGCTTATCACTGCAATTATGATACTTGTTTGTCATGTGCGTGTGATTTGAGTTTACTTTTAGTTCATCTTAGATATAAAGATAGCAATAACATATTTTCAGAGAGTGAATGAAAACAATGGTTCTCTGTCACGCAAGTGAGCAGCAGCTCTGCATTAAGGATCAGCTTGCACTATGTACATTTAGTAAATCTTTTTCCTTATTTTGTATGATATTGTGGAGTAACCACCAAAAACTATAAATAGACCTATACAATATTTTATAAAAACAAAATCTCTAGAATCAATACAAACTTCAAATTTATCAGATAACGATTTACGACTAATTCCATTTTTTTCAGCCTCAATTATGGTTAATAATTTTCATGCTTTATGCTTATCTGATTTATTGTAGTTACTGTCAAGGTTTATTAGCAGTAAAATCTGATAAATATTCTCACCTTGTTATCTCACTTTTATACTACAATGCTTTGTATATATATATTTGAATTTCCTGAAATATCGAGATTGCATACTTATACAAGGTCTGTCGCAAAGTAAACAAGAAAAAAATCAACAAACCATTTTTGGTTTGGAAAATCGAATTTATTTTATCCAAAATAGTCTCCTTCAGAGTCAATATAGCGATTTTTGACCGGGATGTCCTTCAAAATGATCTTCGACGCCTCTACGTCGGTGTACCGCCGTCCCTTTATGGCTAAATGTAGTTTACCGAACATAAAATAGTAACACGGTGCCATATCAGGAGAATACGGAGAGTGGCTGAGAGAGGGTTAACATGCCATTTCTGTCAAAAAATCGGGTACAAGAGTCGATCGATGAGATGGTGTATTATCGTGTAACAACCTTCTTTCTTTGCGATATTCTGGCTGAATATGCGACAGCAAACGCCTCATAACACCAAGATAAAACACAGAATTAACCGTTTGGCCCGGTGGAATGAACTCTTTGTGAATAATTCCGTTCCAATCGTAGAAACAAATCAACATTGTCTTCACTTTAGACTTTTTTCGGATTTTTCTCGCTTGGGTGCTTCCATTCGGTACTCAGTCGCTTGGTTCCGGGATCGTATTGAAATCACCACGTTTCGTCTTCGATCACAATGTTGTACAGAAAAGTTTTGTTTTTTTTAGCCTTTTTAATGACGTCTCTCGAATGTTGAATTCGAAGCATTTTTTGGTCATCCGTGAGCTTGGGCGGAACAAAACGTGAACACACCGTTCTCATGCCCAAATTCTTGGTCAAGATGCGATGGACTGTATCTTCAGAGATATTTAATTCCATTTGTATCTCAATGAAGATTTTGGATCATTTTGCACCGTGTAAACCACTCGAGATAAACAATCATCCATCCACTTGCATCAACATCTGACTCAATATATGACTTGTATTGGATATATTTCAAAAGTCCCGTTTACTCTACGAAGACCTTGTAATCTGTATTAATCGAATAATTTAAATTGTAGCTTAAAAAGGGAAAATCTGTTTAAATGTCTAGGTTATCCTAAAAATATTCTTTTTCAGCTACTTCCCTCCAAAATAAACACAAACTCAACCAGCTGCTATCCTGTATATTTTTCGAAGATCGACCGCTTTTCCAAAAATTAAATATCCATCCTCAATGTGAAGATTATGAACAAAAATTTCAAATGGAAAAGAGGCCATTACTGACAAAAGTAATGAAAAATCTGGAAAGTGCCTCATGTAGTAACGAGATAACCAAATTTGAGTTAGGTTGTCAGATCCCAGGACTGAATATTTTGGGTATAACCGGTTATAAGAAAAATATCTATAAGGCTGTGAATATTGAGGTTTTAGATGAGTATACCGTTTTGAAAAATACTGAAGACAAACCTACTGGACCAATGCAGCTAAAGCTTAGACTTTTGAATGGGGCAGAGGAAGGTTTGATAGTGGTAAGTCATAGTTATGGGGCAAAATAAGTTGTGTTGGTTGATAAATGAAAGTTATGACTGAATAAGTATCACTAAATTTCTGAAGCATGTGCACACAAATAATGTTGTTTTGTTGGTGTTATTCTATGGGGTTGTCCAATAGGGACGCAGGAAAGTAAACGCATATTAAAACAAGAAAGATTGATATTCAAATCAAGTTGGGTACTTTATTTTGAAGGTTCATTTATACCATTTATGTATGAAAAATAATATCGCTCAAATGTTCACCAAGATTGGATTTACAGACGTCCACGCGATGGTCGAACTTTTCAATGACATTTTGCAACATGGTCGGTTCTATGGCATTTATCTCGGCAATGATGTTGTTTTTGAGTTCTTGGAGGGTGGGTGGTTTGTCGACGTATACTTTGCTTTTCAAATATCCCCATAAAAAGAAGTCCAAGGGAGTCAAATCGCACTATCTTGGTGGCCATGGCACATTTCCTCTGCGCGAAATCACGCGATCACCGAAGGACTGCAATCGATGGATATTGACGTTGTTTGTGTGGCATGTTGCACCGTCTTGTTGGAAATAAACATCGTCCATATCCATTCCTTCAAGTTGCGGCGAAAAATAGTCCTCTATCATCACGTGATATCGCTCAGAATTGACGGTAACGGCGCCCCGGCCGCATTTTCGAAAAAGTAAGGTCCGATGATGCCTTTTGACCACAATGCACACCACACAGTCACTTTTTGAGGATGCATCGGCTGCTCTTGATACTCACGGGGATTTTCGTTCGCCCAGATGCGGCAGTTTTGCTTGTTTACCGTCCCAGTCAAAGTGAAATGCGCTTCGTCGCTGAACATGATTTTTGATGAAAAATTGGCATCAATTTGGCGGTGTTCAAGGAGCCAATCTGAGAACGTTCGGCGCGAAAAATGGTCGGCCCGACGCAGCTCTAGCGTCAATTGGATCTTGTAGGCGTGTACATTCAAATCCGTGTGGAGAATGCGGAGCAAACTGGTTCTCGAAATGCTCAATTCTTGGGATCGACGCGTTGTTGATTGTTTCGGATCGTCTCTCACACTCTCCTTCACAACAGCAATATTTTCCGGTGTGCGAAGGCTCCTTGGCCCGCCAGAGCCTGGCAGATTTGCCACAGAACCTGTTGCCTCGAATTTACGCACCAGACGACCGATGGTTGTTTCGTTTTAGCGGTTGTTGCGACCGAAATGTTCACGAAGCGGGCGAAACGTGTTTTTTATTTTTGCACCATTTTTGTAGTGCTCTTGAATAACTTTAATGCGGTCTTCAATCGAATACGACTCCATAGCCGTCAATGGTAAACATTCAACTAACAAAATGACATGTCAGTGACAGAAAACAAAGATGGCTTCTATGTCAAATTGACGTTTACTTTCCTGCGTCCCTATTGGACAACCCTTTATATACCGTATATATTTTACGGTTACGATGTTATTTTTTGGTATTTTGATTAAAAATGCCATAACCCACACTTTATTATTATTAAAATTCCACGGGAAAATACACAACCCAACTGAAATACATGGCTGCGCGAAAATAAGCGTGACACAATATGGCAACCATCTTTAGGCTTCAGCGTTGCTGCCTCTTAAGCTGTTGCGCCAAATTCTCATAAATAATTACGATGGAGGTTATCTTTCCTATGAAGGTTTATACCATATTTAAGAATAAACAGCTTTCTTTAGAAATAAAATTGAGTCTTTTTTTACTTCTAAGAAGATTACGATACTACTTGGCGACATGACCGTAGAGATGGAAATTGTGTGTCAATATCTAAATACAGCATTAGTTTGAACATTTTCCTGAAGAATATGTTAATCAGTGGTATAACTGAAAATATTTGATCTCAGCATCTATCAAATTTTGGAATGCATGGTTATTTATCATACAAACGACTGTGCTACTTCATATGTCTTATCTGAAAACTCGGCTACTGTTTTTGTCAATACTTCATAATTATTCTATAAAAGAATATCGTCAAATAAATGAGTTTATGACAAACTCCTTAACCATTTCAAAGTTGTTTTAGTATTTACTTGCCATTTGTGCTTAATTTTTAACGAAAATAACTCGTAAAAAATTGCAGGTTTAAATGTGCTCCCATGGCCTAATATTTGAAGGTATTGAATATGTGTTCAATGTTGTGACTAACCACAGATGCCTGCATGATAGGAGGGGATTAATTTGCTTAGTAATACAGTTGTGCTTTTCCACTAATAATTATGTATATTCATTGACTTGTTATTGGCGATTTTGGACCACTTTTTCTGGTTATAGAAACAAGTGAAAGCTTAGAATTTTAACAAAATTTGGCGACTGCAGTTGTAGGAGTGTACGAAATGCATAAGATTTTGTAGCATTTAATCTCCAAAAAAACTCTCGGTTTATTTTTGGTATGTTTTTGGAACAGGTAAAGTCTGTAAATATAATTGGTCTACATACTTTGTACAGTTGGCAGTGTCAATGGTAATTCTTAAAATAAAATTTTATTATCTCTCGCATATTCTCACCCACATTTAAACATTCGTTTTCAAATCTTGTTGTTCCATCTAGATGCTATTATTTTCGATATTTGCAAAGGAAGGAATGTCCCATAGGACTTCCTTCTAAGCAAAGCTAGACCATCTTCCCCTCCCCCCTTTCATCCCAAAGCTAAAATCCGTATAAATTGCTTTTATTCAGGGTGTCCAGTGGAAAGTACACTTTTTGATTAAAGAAAACATACAAACTTAATGGAAAGAAAATATTCATTACTTCAACATATTCTTAAATTCGGCGAGTTTTATTTCTTAGATATACTAAGTGACATATAAATCCGAACACCCAGTTTAAATGGTTTTATTTTAATAAAATTTTGTATAAGTACTTAATGAAGCATAATAAGTAAATGATAAAAATTTCAAAATGATTGAACTGCTTCAAAGCCCTTTGACCTTTAATACTGTGTGGATGCACCCTGATGTTCTACGCATTCTCCAACGCGCCTAGGCATGCTTCTGATCAGGTGGTCAATGTCCTCCTGTGGTATCTCACTCCAGGCAACCACCAACTCCTCTCGAAGTGCTTCTAGAGTCTGAGGAGGACGTTGCAAATTGAGCAATCTCCTACCCATCATATCCCACACGTGCTCAATTGGGGATAAGTCGGGAGATCTTGGTGGCCATGGTAACAATGTGACATCATTATGTTGAAAGAAGTCTATTGTGACTCTTGCAACATGTGGTCGGGCATTATCTTGTTGGAAAGTTGGATCTGCCAGGGTGTCAAGATAGGGTAAAAGATGGGGTTCCAGAACTTCGTGGATATAACGCTGCGCGTTCATGTTACCTCTGATGAAGATTAAAGGTGACCTGGAACCATAAGCTATAGCACCCCAAACCATAACTCCAACAGTGTGATGAACATGTCTTTCAACAAAAAACTGTGGATTCCTCCTTTCACCACGTCGCCTTCTAACCCTGGCACGACCATCGTGCATGCCTAAACAAAATCGAGACTCGTCACTAAAGACAATACTGTTCCATTCCTGATCCCAGAGTGACCGTTGTCTGCACCACTCAAGGCGATTACGTCGGTGTTCTCGAGTTAAAGGGAGGACCCAGTGTGGCCGGTATGAAAACAAGCCAAAACTTCTCATTCGTCGGTAAACACTTTGCATGCCAATAGGTCTTCCGTGTTCTGCAAACCATTCATTTGCAATGGACCTGGTAGTGGAGAAACGCTCCCTTAAAGCCAATAATCTTAGGCGGCGATCTTCACGGTCTGTTGTTCTACGGCGGCGTCCAGTGCCCCTTGCTCTTTGCGTACGGCCTTCTCGAAGCCATGCCTGGCAACACCTAACCACAGTGTCTACACTTCTTTGCACTATAACTGCAATTGCCGGAAAAGAAAGTCCAGCTTCCCGAAGTCCCACTATACGGCCCCTATCAAACTCACTAAGTTGACGAAATCGTACAGGTCTCCGTACTCTAGGCATCTTAACCGAACGCAAAGGATGTCAAGAACCAAAATCCGCCAACGTTGATTCTTTACTGCGGCTGAAATATTCATTTTTAGAGCGTTAGTGAATTAAAAAAAAAAAACAGTATAAAAACCGGAGTGTCCAACTGATAAGGCTGAAAGCTTTTTACTTGTTATTTACAGTAAGATAAATACATTCACCAACTTTTATTAAAATAAAACCATTTAAACTGGGTGTTCGGATTTATATGTCACTTAGTATATCATTAACTCTTCTAATCACGCGCGCAAATTCTGAAACACTCTCTTGCAGATTTCCGGAGTGATGTTTATTTCACGTCGAAAGCCTTCAGTTTTCGTGGATTATTGGAGTAAACTTTTGATTTTACATACCCCTACCAAAAATAATCGCATGGCTTCAGGTCGGGTGACCTAGGAGGCCAGTGAATGTCTCCAAACTTCGATATAACTTTTGAGGAAAAAGTGCTTTCACCGTGTCCATCGAGTTCCTAGAAGTATGTGCAATGGCTCCATCCTGTTGAAACCATGTGTTTCTGTTAAATCGACGTTCTGTCCGTACAATAGGAGCAAAAAAGTGTCAATCATGTCCTTGTATCGCTGGGAATTGACTGTCAATGCATGACCGTTTTAATCTTCAAAGAAATACGACCCAATGTAGCTGTTGTTGATGTTCCTCTTTTGGGTTCGTTGGTGCCCCATATCTGCAATTTTGCTTGTTTAAGTAAAAATGGGCCTCGTCACTGAAAACAACGTTCCCGAGTCTGCGCCGCGTAGGAAAAAGATTCAACATCCGTTCAGCACAAGATTTCCGAAATACGTATAATACGTAATCACTTTGCTTTAAGGCGTGGGCTGATTGGATTTTATAGAGATGAAAACCCATTTTTTTCTTCATTATGCCATGCAGTGTTGATCTAGGGATTCCCAAAGCAGCGGAATGCTTCCGTACTAGTCAATGTTCCGTACAGAACGTCGAGGGTTTGCAATGACCCAATCACTTGCTTGACACACATTTTCTTCGGTTGGGGCCAGGAATGGGTTGTATCGTGTCCAAAATTTCCGAAGGACAGCTGCGTATAAATTACCACTCGTAAGCTTCGATATCAAAAGCACGTTGCGCTCCGGTCCAACGTTCCATTGTGACTATTTAACCCGTACGTGGAACGCGTTGATCAAGACCTCTCCCCCACTTCCTCGCGTAATTCAAATTTGAAACTTTCCCACTTGACACCCTGTATGTATATAGCTTTTTGACAAAGCTTGTATTCATAGTTCTACATGTAGATAATATCGGTCCTCTTAATCCTGGAAGCTATTAACCATGTAGAGCATACCTACTGAAAATTTAATCTAAACTGGTGGACAGTTGCTTTGCAATGAATGTGTTTGGGCTCGACATCGTAATTTTTTTATTACCTCCTCCATGCAAGTATTACGTTTCCCCGGAATCCTGATATCTACGCCTTAAACCTTAAACGGTATATTGAGGATCGATCAACATTATAAATTAAAGCTACATCATTCACTAAACGACCGTCTCCCAATAACCTTATGCAATTATCTCGTTCTTTTTGAAAAGACGTCCTATTTGAATAGAGAGAAAGACATTTATTGCGAGAAGTTGAAAATTCGATAATTTGAGTTATGTCCAACTTTCAATAAATTTGATTGATTTAATATGACTTTTTTTAGGATAGTCCAAAGGTCAAAAATCTATATAGAAAAAAAATTGAGAATCTGACATAGCTCCAAACTTTGCTAAAAAACATGACTTCATTTGCCCACCCAGTATAAGTGGATAAATAAAAGAAATATACCGGTCGAACCTCAAACATGTTCTCAAAGAGTTGGTCAAGAACCTCCCGAATACTGCAGCTCGATATCTCTTTCCGATCCGAAAATATCGAGATTTGAATTTGGGTAAAAATTTCCATGTTGCAAAGCAACTGTCCACCAGTTTAGGTCGTATTTTCATATTTCAAGACGTCGCGGTTTCATAAGTTGTTACTCCCGATTTTCTGTTCTAATTTATTTGCAAGATCGTTTGTAAAAGTACGTAAATGAAATTGATACTTTACAGATACCAGCTAAAGATGTCGAGGATTACACAGACGAAGAGTTGAGAGAGTACTTAGGCGATGAAATAGATTTAGTTTGTTGAAAAATAATTTGATTTTCATATCTAAATAGGTCATCTCTTTCATCAGCGAAACCTATGGTGCGGCAATGGAAAACGGTTAGTTTTTTAATCATTGGTCTATTTCATTGTAAAGTAAAAGTATAAACCTCTTTCTACTTGTCTATATCAGCATTCACCAGAATTGAAGGGTACTGACACGACGGCTTACAGTTACGGGATTAAAAAGGGGTGTACTTACATTTCTGCTGCAATGACGAATGTGCAAACCTTGTAAGTGTTCGTCCTTGTAGTGTTGAGTGCGACCATTTCTTCCATATTTATATTAGCTTAGTGTTTGAAGGGTGGTTTTTCTGTCATTTACCTTCAATGCGTACGCGTGATAAAATTTTGTAGTTAATCTCTGGCCACCTGTTCTTTGATTTCAATTACAGAATCATTTTATCTGATTAAATTCAGATTAAATGTGATATTAAAAAACGCGACATTTATATATTGAAAAGTGCCATTTGACATTTATTGTAGTAATTTGTGATTTTATACTGTTGCTATAAACATCTTTTTGGACACATTTTAATCAGTCACCAAATATATTGAACATTAGACAAGGGCAATGTAACCTGTTATTTCCTCTGTGGACAATTATATTTTACTGCCCATAACACAATTAATTTATTATTTCACATTTTTAGAATAATTTTGATAACAGCCTATTGCAAAAAGCTTTAGATTAAGACGTTATGGAAGAATATATGAGTCAGCCTTTTATTTTATGCTGTCCATAGGGTCAACACATACCAAAATGTTATATGCTAATGTATTTATAATTTATTGTGGTGATGAAAACTGATTATTGCATATTGCTAGTCAATTGCCGATGCTAACGTTTGACATAATATTTCCAACTCTAGTTTTTCGATTTCTGTTTACTAAATAATTTTGTAAAAAACCATAGTGATGTAATTTATTAGCAATTTTTCATTATCTATAATCTCAAATGCCATTTTGAAGTCTAAAAATAATGATTACAATAATAATAATAGTGTCTTGGCAACCTTCCATATTATGGCGAAGTTTAGCTTGATTGCTACTCTTCCACTTAACCATAATATGGACAAAACATCAAAAATTTATACAAGGAACATAATACATAGAATATAAACAATTACAGAACAATGACGAGATTATACCATTTGCTAGCCAAGCATGCCAGAAAGCAAATATCGGCATGAACATTAGAAGTCAACCAAATTGAAAATATTCATTTAACAAAATCCCAAAAATAAAAATAAAATAAATTAACAACTCAAACATCGAGAGATTATTGTATCTCTAATAGCTGTTTTCTAACTGATTTTTTAAAAGAGAGTAAACTTTCTTGTTTGTTAGCCGCACTGACTGAATTGTAAAGCTGAACGGCATTATACGTGAAAGACCTCTGATATAATGAGATGTAGTGAAGAGGAATATTGAATACATTCTCTCTCATCTATACTTCTTCTCCAGTCTTCCACAGCCATTTGGATTGCTGTTTAGCATATTTTTTTCTCAATTCAGCTTGGTTTTTTTATCAAAATTTTGTTTTCTTCAACAAATTCAATGATTTGTTCGTATATTATCCGTTCGAACAGCTTCTCTACATCGGCCACATATTTGTATGTAGCACAGAATGTTGAACTTTTTTGCACAGTAGTAATGGTGGGACACGTTATTTGATGGGAATTCACCATGTACTAAACAATAATAATTTCTCTCCATTATATTGAAACAATAATTTAGAATCTTTTTTGGGAGATTCTCACTTGGATTTTTATCAGATTTCAATGCTAAGATAGCTTTTCTTAGATGATTGATGGTTATTGTCCTAAATTGATTCATTGATAATTTATTATACAGGGTGTTTCAGTTTATTGTTGCATAACTTTAAGATTCGATAGAACTTTTAAAATTAATGCATAAAGTCTATATAAACATGGGTCGAAAAATGCGTGGCTTCCGAAATACAGGGTGTTTAAATTTACTTTTTAAAATAGTTTTTTTTTTAAATATTTCGTACAATATTTGATGTATAACAGTGAAAATTGATATACAATCATTTTTTGGTACGACTAAATGAACCATGGGCATAGTTTTACTGTAACCGCTAGAGGGCGCTCTCTACTGTACCTGTAGTGTATTAAAATTTTTTCTTAGTGCAATTTTTTGCTTTTTGAATAAAAAAAATGATTCCTCGCACTTTTCTGCATAAAAAAGCTCTGCTGCGAGTTTTCGTTATAGTTAGCCGTTTTTGAGATATTTCGATTTTTAAGGTTCGATGCATTTTTAATTATTTATGGGAAAATAATATTTTTTTTTCATTTTCGATTTGGGCATTACAAGTAATTAAGATGATCGTTTAGATTGTGTTTTTAAACACAGCAATAATTCCTAACTCCAAATAAACACAAAAAACAGAATATTAATTTGTTTAATTTTCCAATATTATTTTTAACAAATTAAATTAATCATTTATGTACAACTAAAATGCTATTGGATAGTTAGGACAAACATACAAAATCTAAAGTAGTTGCTCGAAATGTAAACTCAATTGTTCAATACACAATTCACATCTACGAATGATCGCACGTGGTATAGCATTATTCAAATAAGGCCTTATTAGCATATCTCTTGTGGTTACGGGAGTCTGGTACACTTTTTCTTTTAGAAATCCCCACACAAAGAAATCTAATGGATTTAGGTCAGGGGATCGTGGAGGCCAGGCGACTGGTCCTCCACGGCCGATCCATCTTTCTGGATAATTTTCGTCCAGCCAGTTTCTAACTATTCTAGAATAATGAGCTGGACAACCATCAAGCTGGAACCAGGCCAATCTTCTTAAATCTAACATAACATCATCCCACATATTTGCGTGTTCAGCCTTTAAAAATTCCAAAAAGGTCGCAGCATTTAACCTTGCAGGCAAAAGGTAGGGTCCAAATAGTCGATTACGGTTGGCTGGCTGAAGTCCTTGCACAGGTTGCAAATGGTAAGGACGTCTATGGTCATTTCTAAGAACACGGTGAACATGGCTTGCTGAAACTCCCAAGGCACCAGAAACTCTCCTAACACTTGTGGTCGGATCTCTATCAAACTCACGCAGAATCATACGGGTAAATCTGCGCTGTCGAACATTTATGTTTGGATCCCTTTGGAGATTTCCAAAACCATTTTCAATTATTTGGCGATGCACTCTTACAAATACTGAGCGAGTTGGATGTCGTCTGTTTGGAAATCTTCGTGCCTATTCTCTGGCTGCTTCTGCTGCGTTTCCTTTACAAAGCCGTACACAAAATGAATATCCGCTAACTCTTGATTGGAGAATAAAAATGGCATTTTTATAAAACTTACAAAAAAGACAGGTAAAAGAAACTAAATTTCGTGCATTCACAATTGCAAAAAACGTTTCAGGTTTCAACAGACAACAAAACTAACTGTCAACTAATTGACGTTTAACCTTATTCTGCTTTCAATTTAAAAAGTATTTGCAGGCACAGCCTACTTCTAAAAATTATCGAGATACTGACTTTTTAACGTTATTTTATCATAAATAATTAAAAATGCACATCGAACCTTAAAAATCGAAATATCTCAAAAACGGCTAACTATAACGAAATTACAGTAGAGAGCGCTCTCTAGCGGCTACAGTAAAACTATGCCCATGGTTCGTTTTGTCGCACCAAAAACCCTTGTATACCAATTTTCACTGTTATACATCAAATATTGTTCGAAATACTTAAAAAAAACCATTTTAGAAAATAAATTTAAACACCCTGTATTTCGGAAGCCACGCATTTTTCGACCCAAGTTTATATAGACTTTATGCATTAATTTTAAAAGTTCTATCGAATCTTAAAGTTATGCAACAATAAACTGAATCACCCTGTATATTGTAATGAACATGAACACAAGCTGGGATCAGCGTCATCAATCGTCTTCACTATTTGATTTGAGGCTATCAGAGCAAGAGTGGCCTAAGCCCAAAATCATGGTACTGAGAAAAACGCAATTTAAATTTTCGCTTTTTTTTGTTTCTTTGCCAATAAGGTAGTTTTGTTTTAATATGATTTTTTTCCACTGCAACAGTTTTTAAAAGATGTCCTATTTTAAATGTTATTTCAATATTATGGGCAAAACGAAATTTGACAAAAAAAATGTGGGTTAGGCCACTTTTGTATTAACGAGAAATTGTCAGTATGCAAAGAAATTAGTTGATTCGGTGGGATAGGCCATTGTTGATAAAATTACTGAACAGTCAGGAAAAAAACGAACAATTCAAAAAATAGTAATTTTTATTAGTCTCTTAACAAAAGAAATATGTAATCACTAATTTTCACATTCACTTTCATCGCTATCAGAATAAATCTCATCGTCTTGATCATGCGTAGTTTTCAGGTTTTGATAGAACTCGTGATGAATGGGGGGAATAAAACATACAAGATCCAATAGGTCCTTTTTCTTTTAGATATCAACTTTACGTCCTTTTGGATATAACAGATTCAGCTCTTTAAAACTGTTAGAAGGGTTCCTTTTAGACACGTCAACTGAATCAAATGGAGCAAAATCTTGATTTGAGTATTTAAAATAGATTTTAAGCGGATCCGACTTTTTAAAGAGCAGCCACTGGATTTTCATCCATTCTACTTTTAATTTATTTTCGGAAATTTTTCGATTCGTTATATTCTTCTCTAAATTAACAGTAGAGTAAAAATCTGTGACTGTCATCTGAACAACTTTAAAAGGAACCTTTTTTCTTGCTGCCTTAACAACGGTTTCCCAGCTATCTGGCACATAGATGTCTTTGAAATATTTCTTTTGTTTTTCAATTAGTCCGAAATCCTGGTCACACGGTAGGTATGAGTGTCCACTGACTAAAAATTTGTGGTTAATTTCTTCAACAATGAGATCATGAGAGGAAACAATATAATTGCATAGTAGTGCCATTTTGATGTTTCTATTTTGGCCACCGCATTGGTCCGAGTACATCAATAATTTTTTTGTTTTAACTTGATTCTTAATAAAATGCAGCAAACACGAACCAATTTCCTGGGGACCTCTAGATGCAATGGATTCATTCCAGATGTACATGAATGACTCTTTGGTAGCCAAGTTATGTATGCCCAAACAATAAGTCCAGAGTTGCCTTTTATAATAACTAATTCCGGTGGAGATTACTGGCGTCGGAAGAGTTTTCATTAGATCAAAAGCAATTGCAGTTACCTCTGAATTATTTTTCGCCACAACAGCATCAGATTTCATTCCCTCTCGGGCACTCTGAGCTTTTCTTTGATGTAATTCCATTTCAGTTGTTAAACTTTGTCTTTTTTCGACGTCCATTTCAAATTTTAATTTATTTTGCAATAATTCACATTTTTTACAAGAATCAGAAACAGGTGCATGAAAGTGAAGATTGAATTGTTTTGAAAATATTTCAGAAAATATGTATTTTGATACAGGTTGTTCGTCTTTTAAACTTAGTTGTTTCTTATAGAGGTCATACATTATACTCAAATTCAAATCTGGGGCTAGGTATCTCCGATGTGGATTTTTTCTCCTGGAATAGTGTGACTGATAGCTTGGAAACCTTTCAATGAATTCTTTAACTTTATCAACTTTATGATCCGGCGTTTTGTTAGCAGAAGGCTGTTTTCCCCTACCATCTGTCGGAGCAGGCATGGCTTTTGATTTGTTGACCAAAACTCTGGTTATTCTGCCATCTGAGACTTTAAGTACCCCTTTAAAAAAGCTTTTACATACTTTTATCTTGTTACCTGTGTCATCTTGTAAATAAAATAAACGGGTCTTTTGTCGTCTGGAAGTATTACCATTGCTGGTATAGACTCTTGATTTATTCACAACATCGACGCAAGAAAAAAGGTAAGCCGACTTCAAATCAAATGATTCAATTTTGTAAAATGCTTGGAAAATAGCCTTTTGTCGCTCTGGGAGAATCTTTTGCCAACAAAGATCTGTACAGCAGTTGTCTACATTATTAAAAACTTTTGCGGGAACAAGTTTTTTTGATCTCCTACTTATGTATGCTTCTCCAAGATTCCTTTTAGTTTTTGTCACATTGCGTTTCCACTTGTTTTCATTTCTTACGCGCATCATTTTCAGTGTTTTGGGGCTCAGCGTCAAACTCATGGGACATGTTTAGCTCCGAGATAGACTCAGACTCGCTTGGAGGATATTCAGAACCTGAATCTTGAAAAGGTTCATCAGGCTCTTCGTCCGATTCTAAATAAAAAGAAACATGTACGTTATGCTAAACTTTTTTTATAATTTTGATTAGTTTGCAGCTTTAATTCAATGCGTATAATAGACAAAACTACTTATTAAAAATTGAATGGGTATTTTTTTAAGTTGAGATCATTGGTAATGTCTCGCAAACAGAACAGAGAAATAGAAGGCATTTACAATGGAAAAGCTAGTGGAACCTAACCTAAAAATATTTCTCATAATTTTGGAATATTATACCACTTACCTGTGAATGTATACGATGTGGAAGCCATTCTTATTGATAATCAAACTCCTTATTTTGTATTTACACACTTTTAAATGAACAGAAGCAATCAAAAATCGTGTCTTGATTATACTGGTTTATACCACGTTTCTTTTCTAGTAAAATTATAAAGCAACAGTGGCCTATCCCACAATTTGTGGCTTAGGCCGGTGTTGCTCTCTAGTTGAGACTTTTTAATGCAATGCAAAAACAGATTTGGTGGTGCCATCTCTTGCAATGTAGTCAAATGTGGCATAGACCACTTTCACCCTAAAATATACCTTAAGAATCAATCATTTCTGTATCAAACTCACTTTTGTATATTTGTGGCTTAGGCCACTCTTGCTCTGATAGCCTCATTTATTCTGTCTATAAAATGAACGTTCACTCTTTCTGCTATAATTATTTTTTCTGTCACTACCCCATCTTCGGAACGCATTTTAGATAATGCAGTATTTACAGGTATATTTGCAGAAACAATATTCTTTAATGTTTTCCACATCATTTTAGAATCATTGTTATTGCTATCGATCTTATTATCATAGTATTTTTTCTTTTCCTTCCCGAGAACCTAAACACTCATTTTTTGATTTTTTTGGGTTCACTCTTTCATACACTATTTTCTTGACCAAAGTTTCTCTCATATATTTATCCATAATTTGTTCTAAGTATAGTGTGGTGTAAAAGCGTTTCTCGTAAGCCAGTAAGTAGCCGCATTGATTTGCTTTTGCTTTAATCAGCTATCAAATTACCAAGTAGGTTTATTAACTATGTATATTGTCCATTACCTGGAGATTATTACATCATTAACCATAAAGTATTTTTGTAAGAAGCAGTATATTATCTATGAAACATTGTGATGTACATGATTGCTCAAAAATCTACCTGATGTACTTTTTATAAGATTCGAACTGTTTACAGTGATACAATTTTACCATAATTATAATTTATTGAAACCACTAGCCTTTTTATATACACTATAATACACCCTTAAATATACAGCGATCCATCAGCAGGACCTAGATAATGCAATGATATCAAAATAACATCAATGATTGTCCATACGCCCATTCCCCCAAAGCTAAACAGTTTCCCAATGCCCTCTTGCCAGTGCCCTAAATAAAATCTATCAGCTCCGAAGCCTCCTAGTGTTATGCTTAGAGCTAGAGCTGTGGACCAACGGTAACCACCCGTCCAGTTGCAATGTACATTTTTCTTGAATTTTCTGTTACCTGAAACAATTTACAGCCTTTCACGTTCAATTCACTATCTCCCCACAATGTGGTATTAACGACAATTGAACAGAATATTATTTTTTTAATGCCGACATTTTGAAGTCACTGCGAAAATAATCTCTTCCAAAGTTCAAACATAAAACAATTTTTCAGGGTGTAGATTACCCTATTCGGAAATTTTGAGGCACATTATTTGACCCGTGTTACAGGGCTTTGGATCATGACACCTGGGGAACCGTGTATAAGCATTTCAATATGTCGCTCGAAGATCGGCGAATCACGATCCTCATCCCATCCTCATGTCTTACAACAAATGAAGGACCTTTCAGCCCAGGCATAGCGTTTCCGAATTTTTTTTTTAGACGGCGTCAACTTCTATGGTTAAAAAAAAACTAAATATGCAAATTCCAGATATTAATCGAAAAGGATATACTATTGTCATTTACTTTCAGATTCTATTAGCAACAAAAGATAATCTCTGGGAAGTGTTACACGACTAAATTTGTCAGGCATATACAGTGAAAGCTCTCCTTGCGGACAGCTCCTACAAGCGGACATCTCTTTTAACCGGACAAAGTTCCTGGAACCGAATTTCAGCCATCAATTTTCAATGTTAAATGCATTCCGATAAACGGACGCTCTTATAAACGGACGCGGACACTAGATTTTCCTGTATGTGATCAAAAAATCTCCCATAAGCGGACGCGAAACTCTAATACCCGGACGATTTTTTAGTTCCGCTTATTGCAATGCACATATCTACATACATAAAATTCGGTGATTCCCCGATTTATGTTAGGTGATTCCCCATTTACGCATTTCGTTGGGTAGCCTGTATGTAATCTTGTGGCTTGTCTTCAGTTCAGGCAAATTCGTAGTTGATTGAGTTACGTATTTTATTATTGTAACTGTAAAATGGCACCAAAAAAAAGGATGCTCTCGTTAAAGGAAAAGATGGAAGTTGTTAACGTATTAGACAGAGAAAGTGTTTCAGTTCGTCATTTGGCAAAGAGGTTTAATATTGGGAAAACGCAAGCAGCTGAAATTGCCAAAAATAAGGAAGATATCAGGAGTAAATGGCAATCAGGAACTAATATAAATCAAAAGAAGGATTTTTTAAAAAAGGAAGGCTTTGCTATAGACAAAACATGTTTTGAGTGGTTTGTGAAAGCTAGAAGTCAGAACATTCCAATCTCAGGGCCGTTAGTGAAAATGAAAGCTAAAGAAATCGCCACTACTTTGGGCTATAATAATTTCAGTGCGTCCGACGGGTGGCTGCAAAAGTGGCGCAAGAGACATAGTGTGAGTTTCAAATGCATATCTGGCGAAGCTGCTGCAGTAGATCAAGTTGATGTGTCACAATTTTTGGAGAAACTTCCGTCCATGTTGCTTGGCTACAAACCAGAAGATGTGTACAACGCAGATGAGAGTGGACTTTTTTTTCGCGTATTGCCGACAAAACTCTGTCCTTTAAAGGAGAAACATGTGTGGGTGGAAGTTGTCTAAAGATAGACTAACCATTTTATTTTGTGCAAATATGGCCGGTGAAAAATGCGATTTGATTGTGATCGGGAAAGCGGCTCGTCCCCGTGCTTTAAAAAACGTTGCTATTAAGGATCTACCAGCGACTTGGAAATCCAACAAAAAGGCATGGATGACCCGAGAAATCATGTCTGAGTGGTTAGTCGAATTCGACCGGAAAATGAGAATCCAAAAAAGGCAAGTTCTTTTATTTTTAGACAATGCATGCTCTCATCCTCGTGATATGAAAATGAAAAATGTGAAAATTATATTTTTACCGCCAAACACAACTTCTGTTTGTCAGCCCATGGATCAAGGTGTCATACAGAACTTTAAATTTTATTATCGGCACTTGATTTTAAAACATATTTAACAAAAATTGACGATGGTCAAAGCTTATCTGAGCTTACAAAGTCTATCAATGTGTTAGAAGCTTTGTATTTTATAAAAACAGCATGGAATAAAGTAAATTCCTCTACAATTAAAAACTGTTTTGGCAAAGCTGGATTCAGTGAATGTAGCTCAGAATTTGCTGAGCAAAATTATTGCGATGCTGAAGACGATCTGCCCTTAGCGACACTTGCTCAGTTACTGCGACATGCCAAACATTTAGGAGTAGCAGATCCCCAGAAAGTAGATGATTTCCTGGCCATAGAAAATAACATAACAACAGAAGAAAATGCCATTGGCAACTTTTCGAATTTGGAAGTAGAAAGCCCAGGCCAACTTGAATATGGTAGTCCAAACGACTCAGAAGAAGAAGTGGAACTGGTGGACTCACTAAGCGGTTCAAAAACGATAAATTCATATGGGAAGCTCTAAATCATATTTCTATATTGAAAAAATTTGCTAAAGATGATTTCACTGCATTTGAACATTTGAAAAAATTTAGAAAGTCATTACGAAAATTGTCTCCTTCAGCAAAAGATGGTGAAATTTCGTCAGACAAACATTTTAAACTTTTTTCAACAAGCTAAAGAATAATGTTTTTTTTAAATTCTCGTACCATGTATTGAAGCATTTATGTTTGTATGCGTATATGTACATATATTATATAGATATATAGCATAAATACATACTTTAAAAATGTGACGAGTTTCTGTTTCATTTTTCTCATGATTATAATACCTCATTTCCTCATGATTATATACCCCGTTATTTATACTCTATACTTACATACTCTCTTTTAAACGGACACCTCCCATAAGCGGACAAAAGTTACGGAACCGTGAGTGTCCGCTTATGGGAGCTTTCACTGTATTCATCAATATTAATTTTTTTTTATGGTCATTATCTGCATTGTTTGCGTTCTCGAAAGTATTTCGATTTATACAAATTCTATTGCTACATATTTCTTTTAGTTCCAGATGACAACACTAAGATAAGGTAGGTATGATGCAAAATCCTCGTTACATAAGATTTATTTAAACTCAGTTGAGAATAAGATACGCAAAAATTAGAATGGTTCATTTCCAAAAAGTTCATTAGGTCAGATCTTCCAATAGAAACCAGATACTTTTAAGAATGATATGACGTTTTTCAGTTTAAAAAATTCCTTGTTTCTGAAAAGAATGTGGGAACTCTATTTTCGAGGCAACCCTCGTATTTAAAAGTTTGACACCACAGGATAATATTTTTCTTGAACATACCTAAGCATAATATTTCATCCTTAACTGTACAGTTTGTAGTATATATCGCTCGTGGTGAACTGACCGAATTACAATTTGCCATTTGCTCACAATTGTGCTCCCAAGGCTCAGTTTGGTAGCAGTACTGACAAGTATATTCTTTTGTAAATTCTTTGGGGCCCTAAAAAATTACAAGCTTATAATTCTCATCAATGCATATATGAACAAGGGATGAGCAACCAAATATGCTTGAATGGGGTGTCAGATGATTTGTAGATTACTAGATCAGTCTTTTAATGGAAATCTCTCAAGTTATTCACACTTTTCTGTATGGTAGATACTCAATCCTGCTTTGTTAATAGAAAACATCAACATGAGATTCACTTGAAAATTGTGGATTTTTAATCTGTTTAGCACCCAACTTGTCATTTACTTGCCTACCTTACAACTAATCTGTTCATAAACTCTGCAAGTAGCATTCAGTCTCGAACCATAACGACAAGCTGTGGTTACATTGCAGCTAATACAAGCTCATGAAGGTTTATGCAGTTGACATTCGATGGACAATTCAAATCTTTCTGAAAATTGAGTTTGTTAAAAACATATCATCGCCTTGGAAGAAGACTATCACAATTTGAGACATTTTCAGTTGTTTCCACAGAGCAACTCAAAAAGATTCCCAGATCAGAGAAAAATTATTGCAATTTGAACTTGCCATATTATTACTAGATGAAGGGACCGCTTTCTTTTATTTATCAGCTTTTATGTATGTGCCACATAACTAGATGTCTTTTACCATGTATTGTGTGTGTGGCTCTTGTGTTCAAGAAAACAGTCACATAACATAGGCCATATCATCAGTTGTTCCAACAATTGTAGGATGCCTTTATGACCCTATTTTCATAGCATTTTCTCTTCTTCAGAAAGGCTGGGGTATTTCTACTGTTCCATGTCACCACCAGCCCTCTCCTAGTTGTGTTTTTTCTTGAATTGTAGGAATTTCAGGCAGATAAAAACATGATAAAAATCTAAAGCATGCAAATAGATATTTGTAACATACCTCAAAAAAGAGAGCCTTTATGAAGTACAGGAAAAACTATAAAATCAAGGCCATAACAGCGTCCTACAATTGTAAGAATGACATGGCTCTTTTTATTTTTACAACAGTCATATATCTTGTTTTTTGTGGAAGTCACAACAATGTTTTTTTTTAAATATTTGTGCAAAAGTAAGCCATTGGATACTGTTTCTGACTCCTATTGTACTGTACATCTTTAATAATAATTATTAATTTGTTAGAAAATGTAGATTTCTCATTGTGAAAATATGTTTAACCAGCTCCCGTGAAAAATTTGGGTTAAAAAAGTCTTCTTCCAAGGTACCAGGTTTTTCACAGTTTGGAACTTACTGGTTGTTGGTTATCAGTAGGACTTTTCTCTTTTTCAACATTACTAATCTTTGAGTGGGTATCAGGTTGTCCTCTGAAAGATGGGTTTCTGAATTCTAAAAGAAATCATGTAGAATATTATCATACATACCCATGTTCATTCTTGTTAAAAACGTGAGTAAAATAAATACGGCTTGTCGTATGTTTATATGTAAGCATTTCATATTTTCATAAGAAATTTTCCAGAATTTAAAATATCTACAATCCTTATCCTCAATGAACTACATATCTAAACAGGCAGACTGCGCGAAAATAGCTTACATGCATTAAAAAAAATATGAACTTATTAAACTTAGGATCTTAGGAACACTTTTTAAATCCTTTTTTGTTGAACATAACCACAAACAAATAATACACTGACAGTACTGACAATTGACACTCGAAACCACAGAACGTCAAATTAGATTAGTTGGACCAGATGCCTACCTATTTTTTACAACACACGTTTTGACAGAAGCCTTCCATTCTATCCGATTAAGACTTGACACGATTTGGAACTTTAAACTAAATGATGGTGAATTCTAAAATTCCTCATTAACTTTTGCCCACATTTACGACCTTGTCAACCTAATTCATGAGCTTTTCATGGTTTTTAGGGATTCTAATGTACTTGTCACGTTGATATTGGCTGTCCGTGTTGCCTGTTTCCTCAACGTTTTCTTGTGACGTTTTCAAGTCAAGTGACAAGTGGTATTTATGTGCTTTTCATCTATTTTGGTGTATTATATTTGGGCTTGTATTGTGCCCTTCTATTTTGTAGGTGGTAATTTTTGATTTTTATTATTGAATTTGGGGTGTGTAGTCTTTTTATAAATATGAAGAACGATTCTGAAGATGAAAATTTTGCCCATTTTCGCTTTTATGAAAAGGACGGGAAGATGCGAATTTAGCTTCTACCTTGATGTCGAAATACCCGATGTTGGTGTTATTAAAGAGGATATACAGGCAGCTAGACAAACTTAGCGATACAATTTCTTCATTGCTGAAGCATATTCAAAACAAATTGAAGAAAAGTATTCATGACAAGTTTTCTAAAGATGGAATTTGTATACCCACTTCTCTTCGAGGAAGTAAGTAAACGCTTTAGTAGTGTATGGTGAGTTCATGCTTCTCGTTATATTCATTATTATAAGCCACATTCTGGGCCAAATGTTCCCCAAAGTATCGGTAGAGCCTAAACATTCATTAAAATTACAGTCTAACGTTTTACCAAAACATGAAAATGTTATTTTTATTGTAGATTAATGGAACCTTTAGAATAATGTTGTAACACCCGTGGTTGTCTGTTGAATCTCCATGTTTCACTGTCCACCAAATCAAAATTGTAGATGTAGAATTGAAGATTTACTAATATTTTGGCCACCTTGAGGATGATGAAGTGCATGATCACTTGTATGAAATTTTCATACCAATTTAGGACCACACAAGGTGTTCTGAAAGTTGGGATTTGTCTTTTCAAGAATGACTATGCTTGAAATCTTAATCCTAATAAACAGTAACAAAAAGGAAACATACTTTTTAAAGGAACTATCGACCTCCATTTGACGAGGAATTTTATGCACTGCCATGTCCACAGTGTTTTTAATTACTTTGTTGTCACCATTTCACCATTCATTTCCAGAAACATGTTTGTTTATTTGTTGAAGATTTATTTTGCATTAATGCTACAATGTAAGTTTAAAAGTTATTTGTTTACATCCAGTTTCTGTAATTTTACGTTCTTGTCTATTAAAATTACATCACTATGCATTTCGAGTAGTCATAAAGTAAGTCTTAGAATTTCACTTTAAACATTTTCAAATTCGAACACTGTTTAATATCATTCATTTACTAAATTCAAATACTCGCTTTTGAAATACAGACCTACTAGTTATGATATTATTACAATTTTTCAGATGAAAGTATATGCTGCCTCTAGTTTCGTAATTATGTAGTAGTAGTAGAAAGATTTATTTAGCACATTTGGCTACATAAACAGAACAATTGTAAACAACTTAGAACTAGTAAATTCAAGCCATATGGTGTATGATGTAAATGCTGGGCAACCTATAATTGTAGATTTAACAAGTGATTTCTCAATTTTACTTTAAATTTTGTCAAAGTTTTCTGGTCTTTTATCTCAGAGTATAATTTATTATATTCAATCAACCCTTGATGGAATACAGTTTTGTAGCCTATGTTATACTTTTTGGTCATTAAATGGAAGTCATCTATATTTCTGGTATTATGTAATGATGGTCGACATTTGATGATGTTAAATTAGTTAGACTTGATGGAAATATTATTTTTTACTTTATAAATGAATATCATTACAAGATATTTGATAAAATTTTTTACATTGAGCCATTTTAATTTGCTAAGCATTTGCCTAATTGGAGATATTTATCTTTATTTAGTATTATTCTCATGCACTTTTGTAAAATTTGCAGTCTTTCAAAAATGGAATTATTTGCTAAATATAGAATAGTCGAACAGCAAGAATTTGGAAGAAGAATGATGGTATAGATAATTTTTCTGCTATATGAACTCAGAGATCCAGCAGAAACTCTCTATAAATATCCCACTTTACTAATCTTATTATAACTTTTTCATAATGAATATCAAAATTAAACGAGAGTCAACAAAAACTCCCAGGTATTTAAAATTTTCTACGAATTCAATATCTTCACCATCAATATTCAGTTGAACATTTGTACATTGCTTTTTTCTGATTAACAAGGCTTTCGTTTTACTTGCATTTAATTTTAGTCTGTTAGATGCTAACCATTTTGAGACAAGCTTCAAGTATTCATTTATATAAGAGATACCAGACTGAATATTTTTAGTACTTATATAAATCATAGTGTCATCGGCGAAAATTTGAATTTTGCATATTTTGACTATGGCAGGTAAATCATTTATGTATAAAATAAAAAGAAGTGGTCCCAGGATACTGCCCTGTGAAACACCCAACGTATTTTCAATTTTTGATGAAATAGTGTCATTAAACTTTTGTAACTTGCATCCTTTTAGACAAATAATTTCTAAACCAATCTAAAACACTTCCTGTTATACCATATGCCTTCAATTTACCTAACAAAATATCTCTATCAATCGTTTCAAATGCCCTCTTCAAATCCAAAAATACTGCTATGACAACTTCTTCTGAGTCTATGGCTCTTCTCCAATTCTCAGTTACCAACTGGAAAGCTGTTTCTGTGGAATATTTTTTTTGAAAGCCTGCTTGCGCCTCCACTAAAATTTTGTTTTCTTCTATTAACTGCATTAATTGGTCATGCACTATGGACTCTAATAATTTTTCAATGTCTGGTACACATTTACTGGTCTCATATCGCTGCATCTTTTAGAATTTTTTATTTTGGGAACTGGTGTTATTGTAGAGCATTTCAAATTTTCAGGGAAAGAACTGCTTCTCAGTGAACAATTGATCCAATTTATGATAATGACTATTTAATTTTGTGAAGTTTTCTGAATGTGATGGTAATAAATTTTTTATTTGAATATGAAAATGAAACTTAGAACTAAATAACATATGAATTTTGTTTTTATTTATAATGATTCCCATAGCTTTATTTTGTAGAATTTTCACTACTTAACAATCCTAAAGCAGTGTCCAAATATTTGTCTGCTATACAGGGTTATCCAAATTAAGTGTCCACCATTAGTAACTTTGTTATTAGTGAAAATACAAAGTTGTTTGAATTAGCAAACTAGTAGCATTTTTAACGCTGGTAAAAATGAGAAATAAAAAAAACAATTGAGAGTCGTTATTTTGATTTTTTTTCAGTAAAATAACATTTTTTTAAATGGAAACCCCTGTATATTATATTTTTTTCTGTTAAAGCATCAAATTTTAAACAAAAAAGTTCATAATGACTTTTCCGCTAAAGTCAAAATAAAGTCAAAATAACGATAAATATTTTTAATTATTTGCAGTATTATAATATTAAGACGGCTATGAAAACAACATGGCGTTCGCGATTTGACAGCATTAAGATAAGCGACAAATTGTTAAACTGGACATACTCGCAACTAGAAGGCTTTGGAAAACAATGATAAAATCAAATAATGTCAAACATTAGTGTAAATACTTGTTTATAAGCTTTATTGTGTCATTAATTTAAAGAAAAATGTTCTCCCATGAAGAAAAGTGTGATATGTTAGAATGCTATTTAGTGTGCAGAAAATCCTCCTTGAGAGCAAGAGAATACTACAGTGAATTATATCCCGCTCGCATT